AGTCCTCTCCTGCTGATGTTCAGGTGTATATCAGTATGTAGTCTCTCTACTTTAAAGAGTCCTCTCCTGCTGATGTTCAGGTGTATATCTGTATGTAGTGTCTCTACTTTAAAGAGTCCTCTCCTGCTGATGTTCAGGTGTATATCAGTATGTAGTGTCTCTACTTTAAAGAGTCCTCTCCTGCTGATGTTCAGGTGTATATCAGTACGTAGTGTCTCTACTTTAAAGAGTCCTCTCCTGCTGATGTTTAGGTGTATATCAGTATGTAGTGTCTCTACTTTAAAGAGTCCTCTCCTGCTGATGTTCAGGTGTATATCAATACGTAGTGTCTCTACTTTAAAGAGTCCTCTCCTGCTGATGTTTATGTGTATATCAGTATGTAGTGTCTCTACTTTAAAGAGTCCTCTCCTGCTGATGTTCAGGTGTATATCAGTATGTAGTGTCTCTACTTTAAAGAGTCCTCTCCTGCTGATGTTCAGGTGTATATCAATACGTAGTGTCTCTACTTTAAAGAGTCCTCTCCTGCTGATGTTTAGGTGTATATCAGTATGTAGTGTCTCTACTTTAAAGAGTCCTCTCCTGCTGATGTTCAGGTGTATATCAGTATGTAGTGTCTCTACTTTAAAGAGTCCTCTCCTGCTGATGTTCAGGTGTATATCAGTATGTAGTGTCTCTACTTTAAAGAGTCCTCTCCTGCTGATGCTCAGGTGTATATCAGTATGTAGTGTCTCTACTTTAAAGAGTCCTCTCCTGCTGATGTTCAGGTGTATATCAGTATGTAGTGTCTCTACTTTAAAGAGTCCTCTCCTGCTGATGTTAGGTGTATATCAGTATGTAGTCTCTCTACTTTAAAGAGTCCTCTCCTGCTGATGTTCAGGTGTATATCTGTATGTAGTGTCTCTACTTTAAAGAGTCCTCTCCTGCTGATGTTCAGGTGTATATCAGTATGTAGTGTCTCTACTTTAAAGAGTCCTCTCCTGCTGATGTTCAGGTGTATATCAGTACGTAGTGTCTCTACTTTAAAGAGTCCTCTCCTGCTGATGTTTAGGTGTATATCAGTATGTAGTGTCTCTACTTTAAAGAGTCCTCTCCTGCTGATGTTCAGGTGTATATCAATACGTAGTGTCTCTACTTTAAAGAGTCCTCTCCTGCTGATGTTTAGGTGTATATCAGTATGTAGTGTCTCTACTTTAAAGAGTCCTCTCCTGCTGATGTTCAGGTGTATATCAGTATGTAGTGTCTCTACTTTAAAGAGTCCTCTCCTGCTGATGTTTAGGTGTATATCAGTATGTAGTGTCTCTACTTTAAAGAGTCCTCTCCTGCTGATGTTCAGGTGTATATCAGTATGTAGTGTCTCTACTTTAAAGAGTCCTCTCCTGCTGATGTTCAGGTTGTATATCAGTATGTAGTGTCTCTACTTTAAAGAGTCCTCTCCTGCTGATGCTCAGGTGTATATCAGTATGTAGTGTCTCTACTTTAAAGAGTCCTCTCCTGCTGATGTTCAGGTGTATATCAGTATGTAGTGTCTCTACTGGGACATGTCTCCATGCTTTAATGTTCAAAAAGCTCTTTATTTTTCTCAACCTCTGTCGGAAACCAGAACGCAGTCTGCTCTGATCCGTTAGCTAACCGGCTCTGTTGTGATTGGTCAGCCGCTTAGAGATGTCCCGCCCCTTAGCCATATCGTATAATGTGTTTGAGCGCTAGCCATTAAAAAAAAACATAGTGTGTGGGGGAGAAACCCACTTTGAGGGACCTTCGGGATTTTAGCCTTTGCAGAACATTTACATGCACCAACAATATCTCACAAATTATTCTAGCTTGCGATAAATGAAAACAAAGACAGATAATGGCCTCACAAATTTCTGCAAATATTTATTGAAATTATGACAAAATGCACTTTGGTGATTATACTCTACACCACAGCAGACAGCCTCAGTCACCTGAAATATCATTTATGACATTTATTTGGCACCTAAAATGTTTTAAAACAGTGATAAAGGCATCCTATCATACACCTCTGCTTTATCATACATGCAACAGATAGTTTGTGTCGTCTTGTTGGGATACTAAAGTTATTGCCGACATCACAGTCAAAACAATCGTCCCTATTTCAAACAAATTACCTTTTTATACAAAATAAAACCAGTGTATGAAATCATTTGTATCTCTCAGCTCCTGAGCGACTGTTGGGTATTTTACACTAGATATTACAACTCAAACATGTGTTGTTGTACTTCCTTTAAATGACACCATCATGCACATTAAATAAGAAACATTGACAATAAGTGATCCTTCTAAACAACCTCAAATCATAATTGTAAGTGGAGGTAATTTCTCCAAAAGAAACATGAATAAATCTCGCAGTTTTCTCGATTAATCGTCTCTTTTTGCAACAAAATCATCACATTTTCTATTGACTTGAACTCTTGAAATGAATACTGTAGATTTCATTCACAAAACAAGCTCCTCACATTCAGTCACACATGTGAACGTCTTCTGAAATCTTTACAAAAGTAGTTTTAAAACATTTACTCTGGAACAGCAGCTGCGGCACGTTCCTCATTTTCCTCCAGGCTTTACACTTTTCAGAAACCTGGTTTAAAAACAGCCAATCACTGTCGGCATTATAAACAACAGCCAATCACTGTCAGCATTATAAACAACAGCCAATCACTGTCAGCATTATAAACAACAGCCAATCACTGCCAGCATTATAAACAACAGCCATAAACTGTGTGATGCAAAGCACACATGGAGCTGTTTCTGTCTTTGACTCTGCTGGCTGTACACTTTATAGTTAAACACATTACATTAACTTAACTACATGTGTTCTCCTGCAAGCTGTAAAGCTCACATCCTATCCAATATTCATTAAGTCATAATTCCTTGTTGCCTTCCGTTTAACACTTGTTCCTAAATTGACCCTCATGTTCCAAAGAGTAATAACACAAAAGATATATCGTTTATACTGTTGTTGCAGTAGATTAAACATAGACTGGTTTTAATTGTATGTTTAAGGCATTTTATTTAGTTTTAATATAGAATATGAATGTTAAATACATTCATTGTTTACATCTGATTGCAGTATTCTCTGCATTATCACTTAAACTTGGTTACGTTAAGGCAACAAAACCACTTAGTTAAGTCTAGTAAACGATTGTGATTGAATTGCGGTACGTACAATAACATAATGTTCTTTCTTTACTTAATAAACTCCACAATTAATTTTCTTTCAAGTGTTTTTTTTAATCATTTACCCCTCCAACATCCTCTGAGGGTTTTACTACATCACTTGACTTCAGGAGTACTTGCTCCAAATGTATTTTACTGACTGATAAATATAACATGGTCTCTGTGAAATGGTCAGCAACACTTAAACAGCTAAAGTAAATATGCTAAGTGTGTTTTTTTTATGCTTCAAGTGCACATACAGTACTTTCTCATCTGCCAGAGTTCAGTGACAACGAGCAGGAAAAGGCGTGCTCTTAACAGCATCTTATGTTGTATACAGTCTAGTGAGAGTATATTCTATTTTAAACAGTTACAGCCCCCAGCTGTCTGCAACTGTCTTAATATGAGCAGCTGCTAAACAGCTGAAGTCTCTGGAGCAGCCGCCTCCTGCTGCATCTCCCCACTGGAATAATTCCTCTATAAACAGACGCACCTGAAGTACACACCATCTCCAGGTGTCTCCGAAATGCCTCTCCAACAGTACACACACTCAGTAAGCTGCTAATGTACCAGGATGTCAGATGTTATTTGTCCATGAGCTCCCTCACTGTAACATTTCTCAGGCCTGTTGACAGGATGTGCTGAGAGCTTTCACCTCATTTCACACATGGACTCATTAACCCAGAGTTTACTTAGAGCCTTGGGTTCAGTATTCACACTGATGCTAACAGCTAACTGCTAACGGCTAACAGCTAACGGCTCACTATCGTAGATTGCTTTGGTTCTAACCCAGATTCACACCACTGATCTTAAAGGTGCATTCAGAGCAAACACAAAGCATTTATAGTTTGTGCTATAAGTGGGGCCTCAAATAGCCAATAACAGACTTAACAGGGACCAGATGTTGCTATTCAACCCAGTCTCACGGCATTTCGTGTAATAGGCTAGTCACAAAATTAATTTAATCTATTGATTCGTGTTCACCAACACGATTTTCCCCTTTATTTCGTTTTTTTTTTTAAGAGAACAATTTTAAAAGCAATTTATTTCTATTGATAGTATGTTTCGTGCCTGCACCACGTATTTTTGTCCAGTCGGGTCTTGGAAGACCGGAAGCTGTGTGGTTCATAAAAACGTTTTCTTACTCAATATCAAGCCACGATTATTGTTTTTATTTTAAATTGTATAATGTCTGACTTTTTGTGCCGTCCACGAGGAAAATAAATGGGGCTCAGAACCTAAGAATACTGAAATCTGTATTTTTTTTCCCCTTCTAATTTGTTATTTGGTGCAGGCTCAAAACATACTACCAATAGAAATACATTGCTTCTAAAATCGTTCTGTGTGACACGAAAACAATTTGGAAATCGTGTTGGTGAACACGAATCAATGGATTAATTTTGTGACTATAACACGAAATGTCGTGAGACTGGGTTGTGCTGTTAGCTTGGTAGCAACTAAAGCTGTCTGGAAATAAGATGTTCACTGCACAATTATCTCTTTTATCACGGTTATCATACGGGTATATCTTGACACCCATAGAAGCAGTACCATAATAGGTAAGTAAATTAATCACTGCAGGATTAGTGCATTATTTTTGCTTGAATAGAAGTGTTTTAGGATGTTTGCACTACTCATTGAATCTGCAAATGTTCCTATGCACTCACATTTTTCATTTTACTTTGTATGCACCTTAATCGCCTCTGATTTTTGGGTTCAGTCTGAACACACCTTAAGACTTTTTGGGGAATAACCGTGAAAAGGTTTAGGATAGTCCTGCAATACAAGGAATAGTAAACTGTGGGTTAAACTTTAGTATCCCGGGATTAACAGTGTGATAACACCCTTTTGGTTCTCTGGGTTTCACTCAGTAAGACAACAGCAAATTGCCGATAAAAGCTCAGCTACAGTTTTGCAGCCTCGTGGTTGAAGGTACAAAACCAAAGCGAGTGAGGTAACAGAAAATATGAAAACATGTATCAAGCTCTGTAAATAAGCCGATCAGTAACATAACATGTATCCACTGTAGACATCACAGCGTCTCATTAGTTGGTCATTAAAGTCGTCCTATGCAGACTCCCTGTCTCTGAAAATGTTATAATAACTATTTGTGTCTAAATAAAGCTCATATTTAAACTGTCAGAGATCCTAGGTGATAACATATGCAGCATTATGGGAAATTGACACCCAAAATTACACACATTGTTAAGAAAAAAGCTGACTTTAAAGATTTGGAAAATTGCCAATTATTTATAATAAAAGAACATTACTCAAGTATAAAAATCTCAGTAGTATTAGATGCGGATCTCATATACTGTATACTATTACTTCAAGCCCTTCTTTTAGCTTATTTGATGTTAAATTAGCAACTTTTTCCTTAAATAGAAATAAATGCATTTGTTTCTGGGAATTAAAACCATCCAAAAATTGCATTTTAACATGTCAAAGGATCTCTTTGAACTAATTTAATTGAAATGAAGTGTGTTATTTTAGCATGTCCTGCAGGTCCATACACTGGGCTCTTTACTCCTGCCTATAATTAGGTGATGTAAGAAGGAAATGCATCATCATTATTCATTTGCCAACGTTTATCATGTTGATGACACTCGGGATCAGAGACAGGGAGGATGCTGGGATCAGATGTGGGAGCTCCTGGGATTTCACCCTCCGAACATTAACATGCTAATCTGGTGCATTTAAAACACAACATGCTCTCGTTACGGGACGCAGGGCAAGGGTGATTTGAATCTATGATTAGAAATGAAAGATAAAACTAGCTAAAGATAACAGCTCTAATAGTAAAATAAAAAATCTGAATTATGCAACATGCCCATTCAAGTAATGGTTAATCCCATCAAGTCCGATACCAGCCATTTCGATATATCTTCTCATTTTTTGATACGTTTTTTAAGTTTCTTTGCAAAATAATATCCACATTTGAAATTATTATGACTGAATAAATGTATATTCTGTTGTGTTTTTTTAATTTATCATGCAACAAAACAAATGCTTAATGTTCTTGTCAGAGCAAATGCCTTCAAGTATGTTAAATTAGATAACATATGAACATTAAATACATCAATATTAAACTTACAAACGTAAACTGAAAACATGTGTTCATTCAATTTTGCCTAAATTACAAATATTTGGGATTTCCAATTTTTTATATTCACATAAATTAGATTTTTGTAAAAATACATAGTTAAATTTGTTTAATTTAACTAATGCTGGCTGAAAAAGAAATGAGCAAAGTTCATGTATGGGCCAACCAAGAAAATAAATAAAAAAATACATCAAATCTAAAGCATGGCAGCGATGGGAGATATCAACAGGAGCTCGACCACATGGAGAGAAATATACATAAATAAATTAAAGACAAAATATGTCTTTCCTCTCTCATCTATCGGTCTGTGGTTTTCCTCAGAGTTTGAGGATCCACAGATTTAGAAAAGGGCTCCCCCTGCTGGACGGGGAGCGGTAGAGTTTTCAGTTTTCAGAGAGTTTGTCTTATTGTCCCGACGCTCGAGCCGCCTTCTGCTGCTGCTCCAACATAGACTTGATGGCAGGGGACATCATGGAGGGGGACATCATGGCGGGGGACCTCATGGCGGGGGACATGGCCGGGGTTAAAGGTCGTAACGGGTACTGAGCGTTTCTACCGGGGACGTAAACGCACTGGAAGAATCTCTGACCTGTGGAGACACCGAGAGAGAAGAAGGGATCAGCAACGCATTGCATATAAGAGCATCATGTGTTCATCTCTGGAACTCTCTCCCCCTTCACATCTCGACAGTCTGACACAATCACCACATTCAAGACCCTCCTCAAAACCCACCTGTTCAGCTCAGCCTACTCACTGTAGTGCTACATGTCCCCTGTTTCCCTACATGTTCGTTCCCTGTTACGGTCCTTTTGTACCGTCTTAAACCTTTCCTTAGAATATTTTATGAATTGTAATGTGTCCTTGTAAGCAGGGCCGCCTTAATGCACGGGCTGACCTGGGCTGAAGCCCAGGGGCCTACGGAAATTGGGGGCCTATCATGAACCAATTAAAAAAAAATCAAAATTCAAATTTTTTTATTTTTTATTTCTGATGTTTTAAAACAAGTCTTGGCTTTCAGAATATGAAACTTTCATTTCCAAAATCACACGATAAATACATTTTTGAAGCTTGTAAAGGGAAGAAGACAGCTCTCCCTCGCCACTCTGCTGTTCCCCTCCCTCCGCTGAAATTATGAATGTAAGGCGTATAGTAATCATAGATAACACGGCAGGGTCCGTTACAGTTTGTTTTCATCTGGTTTCAAATAAACAAAGTCTTGGCTTTCAGAATATTAAACTTGTTTCGGCAAATTCAGATGATAAATACAACTTTGAAGCTTCGGCATAATTACAAGCGGAGAACGGAGTAACTTGACGTCACAGCAGGCACAACAACAGCCGGTGTTTCTCGTGAGTGTTTTCCCCGGGAAACAAACACAATACACACAAATGCAAAAATACACAAACACACACACGTATACACACACACACTCGTGAGCTTCCCCCAGACCAGTAATCCAAATGAAAATATCTTCCTTCCATACTATTTTGATAATTTGCTCCGCTAATCAATCAGATCGATGGATTCCAAAGATTTTTCTCAAAAATGATGACTCAGTAAAAGTCAGTGGGCACCACTTTACAGCCAATCAGAATGAGAATATGTTTCACATGTGACTTATTCAAATTGCGAGTGATTGAGTGACAGATGAAGGTTGTTTAGGAGAAAATGTCGGAGAAGAAAAAGTTTGAAAGTGGCGCTCGGAAAAGGAAATTGTTGAGGGAAAAGGAGTTTCGAGACAAGCAGCTATTACAAAACATGCCGAAGCCTACATATTATTTTAAACCTGTAGGCCAGGATGAGGAGGAAGGACAGATGAGTTCTGTACCGAGCGGCAGCGGTGCCGGCCGCGGGGCCTCGGAGCCAAGTAGGCCGTCTGGTTCTGGTAGCGGGAGAGGAAAAACAGACAGGAGGGACATTATCTGTTGGAGGAGATGGAGAGGACAACGAGGACTTGCTACGTGGAGGGGAGCCAACGGCAACCGGACAAATACAGAGGACCAGGCGCGTGTAGAGCAGAGTGGAGAAGTGCAATCACAGAGCCTGCCGAGGCTATAAATGACTTTGATTTGTTGTTTAAATAGGGGGCCTACAAAACCTATCAGCCCCTGGGCCTGATGGCAGGTTAAGGCGGGCTTGCTTGTAAGGTGTTGTTTTGTTTTAATTGAGATCGATCATGCGTGTGGCTTTGTCGCAGTCTTGTGACAATCGAATATCTAAATAAATGTCCAATAAAAGATTAAAAGTTTATATTATATTGTGATTTGTAGTTCATCCAATTTGCACTGGACAGCACCAGCTGAGCCTGGGACTTGAAGGTCTCCTATTATACTGTTTTTCATCAACATGTCACAGGTCTCAGATATATACAGAACCTGTCTCTGATTGGCTGAAACACTAAACAGATCATTGCAGCATTACCCAATGTGACGAAGGTAACTTCACTGTGAACTGACGGCTTCGGGCATTTTTATACAATTTATACTATTTATTGATTTAGTGTTTATTGTATTTTATTTTGAAATGTGTTCCCCTTTCCCCATGTCTGTTGCCGTTGATTGTGTGCACCTGGTGCCCTGTGTTGTCTCCTCCCCCCCTCACCTGTGTCTTGTTGTGCTGATTAGAGTGTGTGTATGTAGGCTCTGTTTCCCTGTCTGTGGAGAGGCTGGTAGGGTGTGTGAGATCCTTGTGGCTGCAGGATGTGTGCAAGGAGAACAACAGGATTGAGGCTGTGAACTTTGTGCACATGATTGGTTGCTGATTGGCTAATGGTTACACAAGACAACACATCGTTATGACATCATAAAGTGGCCAAAATCTGATCAGCTCATTTTCAGACAGGTTTTTATAGAAATGGATCAAAAAGAGAGAGAATCTTTGTTCCTGAAACTTTCAGAGTCTCTTTCCACAGAGGGGACACATGTTGATGTAGAAGAGACATGAAGAAGAGGGGACACATGTTGATGTAGAAGAGACATGAAGAAGAGGGGACACATGTTGATGTAGAAGAGACATGAAGAAGAGGGGACACATGTTAATGTAGAAGAGACATGAAGAAGAGACGACACATGTTGATGTAGAAGAGACATGGAGAAGAGGGGACACATGTTGATGCAGAAGAGACATGAAGAAGAGGGGACAGATGTTGATGTAGAAGAGACATGAAGAAGAGGGGACACATGTTGATGAAGAAGATACATGAAGAAGAGGGGACAGATGTTGATGTAGAAGAGACATGAAGAAGAGGGGACAGATGTTGATGTAGAAGAGACATGAAGAAGAGGGGACACATGTTGATGAAGAAGATACATGAAGAAGAGGGGACACATGTTGATGTAGAAGAGACGTGAAGAAGAGGGGACACATGTTGATGTAGAAGAGACATGGAGAAGAGGGGACACATGTTGATGAAGAAGATACATGAAGAAGAGGGGACACATGTTGATGAAGAAGATACATGAAGAAGAGGGGACACATGTTGATGTAGAAGAGACGTGAAGAAGAGGGGACACATGTTGATGTAGAAGAGACATGGAGAAGAGGGGACACATGTTGATGTAGAAGAGACATGAAGAAGAGGGGACACATGTTGATGTAGAAGAGACATGAAGAAGAGGGGACACATGTTGATGAAGAAGAGACATGAAGAAGAGGGGACACATGTTGATGTAGAAGAGACATGAAGAAGAGGGGACGCATGTTGATGTAGAAGAGACATGAAGAAGAGGGGACACATGTTGATGTAGAAGAGACATGAAGAAGAGGGGACACATGTTGATGTAGAAGAGACATGAAGAAGAGGGGGACACATGTTGATGTAGAAGAGACATGAAGAAGAGGGGACACATGTTGATGTAGAAGAGACATGAAGAAGAGGGGACACATGTTGATGTAGAAGAGACATGAGGAAGAGACATGAGGAAGAGACATGAAGAAGAGGGGACACATGTTGATGTAGAAGAGACATGAAGAAGAGGGGACGCATGTTGATGTAGAAGAGACATGGAGAAGAGGGGACACATGTTGATGAAGAAGAGGAGACACATGTTGATGTAGAAGAGACATGAAGAAGTGGATTTTAAATAATATAATAACAATGAAATAAACCTCCAATAATCCACATTCCCCAAAAGCAACTCTTACTTGGTTTCTTCTTCTCTTTGCTACTTTCATCAGTCGCGGTCTCCTCTGCAAGAAATGGGAATTCACACATTGTTATATAATTTCACTTTTATAGTCAAGTGTGAGACTGTGAGACTGTGAGACTGTGAGACTGAGAGACTGTGAGAAAGAAGACAAAGGATGACATGCATTGAAGTGATGGGAGGAAAACAGTCTGGAAAGAGAAAGAAAAAGAGAGATTTTCACTCTGATTGATTTTAACATACATTTATGGATAAAATCAAGACTTTTTCTGCACTTTACAGGGCCAACGAGTCAAATATAGATTGGTTTATGAGTTGTAAAAAAGTTAATTTGGATTATTGGCTGGTATAGAGTCTATAAAGTAATACAAAAACACACACCTTTACAGATATTGCAAATTAAAGAGAAATCAAACAATTCTTGCTCCAAGAAACAGGAAACGGTGCGCCAGACGTTAAAAAGGGAAGTGTGGAGTCACTCGGGGAAGTGTGTGTGTGTGTGTGTGTGTGTGTGTGTGTGTGTGTGTGTGTGTGTGTGTGTGTGTGTGTGTGTGTGTGTGTGTGTGTGTGTGTGTGTGTGTGTGTGTGTGTGTGTGTGTGTGTGTGTGTGTCATGGTTTGGCTGTGGTCCAGCAGAAGGGTGAAATTATATTCTGACATAACAAAGCCAGCGGATGAAAAAAGGCTGGAGGCAGACGTTTATGTAAAAGCTGTTGGCAGTGTGTGTGTGTGTGTGTGTGTGTGGTGTGTGTGTGTGTGTGTGTGTGTGTGTGTGTGTGTGTGTGTGTGTGTGTGTGTGTGCGTGTGTGTGAGAGTGTGTGTGCGTGTCTGTGGTGTGTGTGCGTGTGTGTGTGTGTGCGTGTGTGTGTGTGTGAGTGTGTGCGTGTGTGTGAGTGAGTGAGTGAGAGGGGGGGTTTATTCTCCACTGGATGACTCACTAAGAACAGAGCTCTAACACTTGAATGGGTTCTGCTTCATGGGTTTAATCAATTCGTCTAAAGTGCTATTGTTGCTGAATTCATCAAAAGTCACATAATCCGTGGCGACGACTGGAGGCCGGTAATCTGGACTCCATCAGCTCATCTCATTAAATACATATAATAATAATTTAGGATCATAATGTCATTACAGCAGATTCCTGTTGAGTCAACCAGTGGGAAGAAGGAGGAAATGAACTGAATACCTCAAGCTCTACAGGAAGACCTTTTTCCATTCTCTATGAACAACAAGCATACGGCATAAAACATTTTTTTTTTAAAAGTCTTAATATATTTCTTAATGTATCCTTTTGTTGTATTGACTGGTTGTCACGGTCCAAACTGTGTCCCTGTGTGTTCCCCTGTGTGTGTGGAGAGGGTGTGGTTTCCCTTGCTCTCACCTGGCCGTCCGACTCAGCTGTCCCTCATCATCTAATCAGGACACAGCTTATCTTCTCCAGTCTCCCAGCAACTCACCGCCAGATTGTTTTCTACACCAGTGGCATTACATCCTCCTGGCTGCCCATTCAGTTTTCCTGTCTGCGTGTTATTCCGTACTTTTTGTAACTTGTGTTTCCAGTGCAATCCCTCGGCCATCGTCCACCAGAGCTTCCAGCCAACCTCCCTGCTTCTTCCTGCATCATACCTGCCTGCCTTGTTATCAGTAGTGATGGCAAAATGAAGCTTTGAATGAAGCGTCGAACCACTTGGACAATTGTGTCGGAAATAGGTTCATTTCTCGAAGCTTCAGTTACAGCGACCTCTCCTGGCGAAGTGCAAGGCTGCAGTGGGTTTAACGTATCTTTGCCTTGAAAAATATTCGATGCACACACACACTAAGACTGAATATCATGTTCTATTTGCAATTAAAAATTGATAATTGTGTGTATTGGGTTATTGAGAAGAGACTAGAGAGTGATAGACATTTCTTTGGGAGGAGACGGCCTTTTATCAGTCATTAAAGTTGAAAAGCAATGATTAAAATACATCCATTCCGGGCTTTGAACCAGCTGCGCGGAGGACATCGCCTCATTCAGGCCGCCGGCTCTACCCACTGGGCTATCTATTCCTTAACATATTGAACTGTTTTTATATGACTGATAATTGTCTTTTTATTCACAGCTTCTCCACATTTCAAAGTGTTTCCCGAGCCAGAACGACCTATCTTTCTTCCTGGCTTGCTCTATAATGATATCAAATGCAATACCAACAACAACTCAACAGCAACAACGCAAACTACGACAACAACCCACACATTGCGCATTGTTTAGAGCGGTCATAAAGTGTTGAAGCGCTCAAATTTGAAACTGTTTCAACCTGTCACCACCTGTCAGAATCGAGACGAGGCAGTGCATTGAATCGCGTGAATGGACCGCGAACCAGTCAAGTGATTCATTCAGGAAATGAAGCAGTTGCTGCTTCGGACGTCATATGTCACGTGATTTGAAGCAAGCGTCGAAGCACTGCTTCTATGGAATAGGAAGTCCAGGGTTGAAGCTCCGTTCGAAGCTTCAGTGTCAAACTGCCATCACTAGTTATCAGTCCTACCTCCACTCCGGACCTCCATAATCACCAAACCTGCCTGAGTCTCCGAACAATAAACCATTTGAAACATCTGCAGTCATTGCCTGCGCCTGGGTCCTGTTTACAACATAATCCTAACACTGGTGGGAAGTAGTATATTTCCTCGTGTACTGTACAGCTTTCACTTGAGTATTTACATGTACTATTGCATATTGTACTTTTTACTCTGTTACATTTCTCACACAACTTGGTTATTTTCTACCTTTAAGTACAACAAATGATCATAATGCATCACATTTTATGGGCTTATAATAAGAAATAATGAACCACCTTACTGTATGAAACACAATAAAGGTGCTATTTTTTCATTAAGATTATATAATAAACATGTGATATAAGTTTTATTGACCGATAATAAAGTTTACCCAAAGGAATAAAGCTGAAAATAAATTGTATTTTTCACTATTTTGTGTATTTGATTTGCCTGATAACACTGTTAAGTGCATTTTATTAATGCAGAGTATACTTGTGTTATTACTTTTACTTAAGTTAAGGATTGAAATACTTCTTCCCCCTGTGATAAGTATGCCCCTCCCTCCTGCAGTAAATCACTTCCTGTCACCTGACCCCTGCACACCTGCTTCACATTTCCCTTATCAGCCTCCAGTATAAATACCAGAACATTTCCAATCATGTTCTTCCAGAGGCCTGTACTACGAAGCTGGTTCAACCTAACCTGGATATGTTTGAGTTAGCCGGTTGGCCTAATCCAAAACATACACGCTCTCGCTAAACTGTACTACGACGCGGGTTATCAAGTGGATCGCTCAAGCCAGCCGTGTCCTATCTAGTTAGGTGCACGTTCACATGAAAGCGGTGGTATCTGGAGCATTCGACCAATCACAAACATGGAGAAGCGTACTGACAGCGCAGCGTCATACTTCCTGAATGAAAAGTGAACTATAATATTAGACATATGAAGAAGTTAAACTTTAAACATCCATGACTCAAACACTTTATCCAGGATCAAAGCCAGAGAGCTGCACCTGCAAGGTGAATACAGCTGGGAACAGAAAAAGTGTTTGAATGCGTACATTAACAGGTTTATGATATCACTGCCCCGTCTAAGACACGATCTGACTTTCATTACATTTGTCTCGAGTGTTTCCTCAACTTAATGTGTTGCTTAAAATAATACTTCTGCATACAGTCTGTGACACTGTGAGTGTTGCACGGCCAGATACGGCTCAGCTGACTCAGATCAGGAAATATATGATACATTATGAAGTGATATGCCGCGGACTTAATGTGACTCTGATCCGGTTACTTGTGTTGTGGCAGATATTTAAGTAAGCTTTCTTAACGCTAATGTTATAATAGTCAGATTGCTCTGAAGATGGAGCTGATATTCTATTAATGTTCACGTTCACACAGTCGGTGATTTTTGCCGGCCGTCTTTCCTGCGACGGCAGCTTTTCTGTATTTCCTTTCTCCTGTAATATGACTTGATCGCTTTAAACTCCGCACATTGAGCTCTGATTGGTCAGCAGGCGGTGCTTTCACTGAGTTGAGCTCTTCGCCTGCAACCTAACCTGCTCCGGAGCAGGTTAGCCGCTAAGCATAAGTTACCATGGAGATCTAGCCTGCTAAAAAGAGAACCAGCTTCGTAGAACCGGAAAGCCGGAGTTTTTCCTGAATTTAGCCGCTAAGCGATAATCCTGCTTCGTAGTATACCCCCCTGGTGTTCTACTTTGCTTATGTTCTGGATTATGTTTGTTTTCAGATACATTTGCCTGTTTTTGACTTAAGTAAAAATCTTGCTTTTGGGTCATTTTCCAAACCAAACCAAAATAACATTCCCATACAATTAAACTCTCAATTAAGTCTTGATTGAAATTGATTTTTCTCCCAGATTGCTATCTTATTAGCTTTGTAATTTGAATCAAAACAACTTTGTTATGTTACTGCAACACATCTACCTGGGGGGTATACTACGAAGCAGGATTTTCGCTTAGCCGGATAACTTCTGGGATTTCCGGTACTACGAAGCTGGTTCACTTTTTAGCGGGCTAGATCTCCATGGTGACTTATCCTGGAACCTAGTCTGTGCTCCGAAGCCGGATAGGTTCCAGGATAAGAGATCAACTCAGCGAAAGCACCACGCCTGCTGACCAATCAGAGCTCAGTGTGCGGAGGAAATACAGTTTAAACTGCGGTTGCAGGAAAGACGGCCGGACAAAATCACAGACTATGTGAACGTAAAAATTAATAGAATATCACCTCCCATCTTCAGAGCAATCGGACTATTATAACTATTATACTATTATGTTAAGAAAGCTTAATTACATATCTGCCACAACATAAGTAACCAGATCAAAGTAACATTACGTAGCCTACAGTCCGCGGCACTGTGAGTGCAGACGTCGATGTGTCCCATAATTATCATTCATATCACTTCATAATGTATCATATATTTTCTTATCTGAGTCAGCTGAGCCGTATCTGGCCGTGCAACACTCACAGTGTCACATACTGTATGCAGAAGTATTATTTTAAGCAACACATTAAGTTGACGAAACACTCGAGTCAAATGTAATGAAAGTCAGATCGTGTCTTAGACGGGCAGTGATATCATAAACCTGTTAATGTCCGCATTCAAACACTTGTTCTGTCACCAGCTGTATTCACCTTGCAGGTGCAGCTCTGTGGCTTTGATCCTGGATCAAGTGTTTAAGTCATGGATGTTTAAAGTTTAACTTCTTCATATGTCTAATATTATAGTTGACTTTTCATTCAGGAAGTATGACGCTGCGCTGTCAGTACGCTTCTCCATGTTTGTGATTGGTCGAATGCTCCAGATACCACCCCTTTCATGTGAACGCGCACCTAACTAGATAGGACACGGCTGGCTTGAGCGAACGAGTTGATAGCCAGCGTTGTAGGACAGTTTAGCGAGAGCGGCTTTGTTTTGGATTAGGCCAACCGGATAACTCAAAACATATCCAGGATAGGTTGAACTAGATTCGTAGTATACCCCCCAGGTGAGGTTTAGAACAAAATCATGGTTTTGTTTGGAAAAAAGTGCGTCTGTACATCATTGAGATAAAGTGTGGACTGCAATGAAGTTACTTTTGGGATGGATATTGGACACTCGACACTCACTTTTACAGACTGCTGCTGTCAACACTTAGATGTTATCAATCGACTTGATGTCATGTGACTCAAAATAAACAAAGCATTTTTTATATAGTCTCAGTATTGATGTTGATTTATTAATGAAAATATGAATAGATGGTGGACATAAATCCAATTTAAAGAGGTGTGTCCTATCATATGTCCACTTTTATCTGGTCTGAAATTGGCGTTAAAACTACAATTATTAGAACAGAGTATTATGCATGATGCTATAATAACACTGTTCACATTTAAGTTAAAATACGTGTTAATAACTGGATATTATTAGCAGTGGAGATGAGTGAATGTCACACTTACTGGCTTTTGCTGGTTTGTTCTCTTTGTCTAAAATGCGAGAGGAGGAAGAGGAAAAACAGATTAATGTTAAACATGTGACACACACACACACACACACACACACACACACACACACATACCATGTATGCATCACTTCAGGGGACATTACATTGACTTACATACATTTCCTGGAGACTTATCCTAACCTTAACCATAACCAACACAGGCCTGACCCTAACCCTAACCACATTTTCACCCCAAAATGAATGATTCCCCTCATGGGGACCTCCATGTTGTCCCCATAAGGGAAGCCAGTCCCCACACGTGACTGTGTAAACAGATTTAGGTCCCCACAAGGATAGTAATGCTAGGACACACACACACACACACACACACACACACACACACACACACACACTTTCTCTATTCCTACCTTCAGACTCTTTCACAGATTTCTTTTCAGCCTTCTCAGATGTGCCTGAAAGAGAAGAGACAGTCTTATTAAAACCCGTGGGATAACGCTCTGTACTGTGGTGCTAATTAAATCTCCCTGCAGTCATCCTACTCTCAGTGCAACGCAGCCTGGCGTGTCGCTAATTGGACCTTTTTATAATGCATAAAACAGCCCATTTATTCTTAAATGTGTCAATGTTAATAAATAAGTGAAAGTCGGTGGGACTTCATTTATTGTCCCTGCTACTGCCACTTGTGTTCAAATGATATTAATGACTCCAATCAGTGTCTCAAAAGGCTTTATAAAAATGTTCGACGTGACCATAATACTTTTCTTAATTTTTCAATATTGCTCTTTTTAATAAGGAGGATGTTAATAGAAAGTGCCCACTCCTTTAAAGACTAAAACAACTAAATACAATTCAAATCTTAGACTTACTTTTTGAGTCTGCTGATGATTTTGACCTCGTCTTGGCTGAAAATAAAAAGACAATCAAGATCCTTTGTTGTTCCAGCTCTTTCCTACATGCCTATAAAAGCTTGTAAGGTATGTAATTTCCGTCTCACATAGTGAAGTTAAATTGAAAGCTCTGTTACCTGCTTCAGGAGATTTGGCCGTCTTCTCCTCTTTCGCCTGAGACGTGACGTTTGCTTTCCTCACATCTTCTAGTCTCGCTCTCAGGCGGCTGATCGGCTCTGGATCTGAAAAAAATATCAATAACGTCAATACAATTCTGGTTTAACATCTGCATAAACAAAACATATATAATGCAAGACCCACTGGATTGAATATAAAGCCTTTATTGTCATTATACGAAGAATATACAAGGAGATGTTTTACTAACACTGTCACACATACGAAAACAGACAATTAACACACAGACAATCTTACGAGGGGTGATAAATAATTAAAAGCAAGAAGCTATAAAAAGCTATCAAGTGCATCTAAAAAAAGTCTGTTTGTCCATGTATCAAAACTCCTGTAATGCAAGACCCAGTGATTCCCAGTAGATATTATGACTGCACTAGAGGAATAAGACAGGCCTCTTTTAGTAGTTTCTTTGTACATTTTATGTCAATATTTGATTAAAAATCAGCAGTTTTTAAATGTTGTGCACTGTTGACTTCAAATCAATACAGAATTATTTTTGATATATTATTTTAATTACAAATCTAGCAGTTTCTTTGTTGAAAAGTTAAAAACAATTATAAATAACTTGACGTTTTTGCTAGATTTTACATCTTGTATTTTATAAGAATATTGTAAATAAAACAGTTTTAATTTGAACATTTATCCGTCTTGTTTTTTGGCTCTGAATCTGAGAAATGAAAACCTACATTTTGAGTCAAATTCAGGTTTAACGTCTGCATGAACAGAACATATAATGAAAGAGAGAAATTGGATGAAGAAACAAAATATATTAAAACTGAAAGTTGTTTATTTGTTTACCTTTCTTTGCTGTCGGAGTCTTGTCTTTGCTCCTGACGGGAGACGTTTCTGAGAGGAGCAAAAAGAAATGTGTTTCCAATCATTTTCCTATTTGACAAGAATTATGATCAAATTATACAGTCACGTGTGGGGACTCGCCTCCCTTATGGGGACAAAATGGAGGTCCCCATAAGGGCAATCATTAATTTTAGGGTGAAGACTTGGTTAGGTTTAGGGTTAGGGTAAGGGTTAGGGATGTGTTGGTTATTGTTAAGGTTAGGATACGTCTCCAGGAAATGCATGTAAATCAATGTAATGTCCCCTAAAGTGATGTATACATGGTATGTGTGTGTGTGGTGTGTGTCTCTGTCTATGTGTGTGTGTGTGTGTGTGTGTGTGTGTGTGTGTGTGTGTGTGTGTGTGTGTGTGTGTGTGTGTGTGTGTGTGTGTGTGTGTGTGTGTGTGTGTGTGTGTGTACCTGTCTTCTCAGAGGCTGGTTTCCTCTTCTGTCTTGCAGCTGCAGGCTCTGGTTTAATGAGGAAAGAGTTGAGATTATTGGCCTGAATCTTTTCATTTCAAACTGAAATATCAGCGGCTCGTTCTCATTAAGGACGTGGAGGATTCGCTTTTACATGATATTAATATTTCAACACTCTTTTTTAGGCCCTCTGGACTAATGATGTTTTACCTTTCTTAGCCGCTGCTTTGGTTTTCTCTTTTACAGCTGGCTCTGTAGAAAGAAGGTCAAAAGATACAAAATGAAATATGAATCACAATCTGGTTACCATTTGGTTGGTTTATAATGTTGCATATACAAATGCAGTAGAGGATTAACATGTAAAAAAAGAAAAATATATATTAAAAAACTGCGTTTAAAACAATTAAAAAAATTGTCATATAATATGACGATTTTCAAAAAATTCAAATTACATCATAATTGAAATGGTAAAGCTTCCGGACACTCCAACACATTGTACGTGATAGGCTAAGGGGCGTGGCATCTCTAAGCAGGTTAACCAATCACAACAGAGCCGGCCAGCTAACCAATCAGAGCAGACTGGGCTCTGGTTTCAGACAGAGGGTGAAAAGAGGTGCTGCAGCACAGGCAGTATGAGAACAATAAAGAGCTTTTTGAACATTAAAGCATGGAGACGTGTCCTCTTTAAATTAATGCTATCCTAAAGCCATTTTCACATTATGAGAATTAACAATCTTCAATATTGTAACTTTCCTAAGAGTGTGTGTTTCTCGTCTGGTAAATACTTTGCATTCAGCTAAAATGTGTTTTACCTTTCTTAGCCGCTGCAGGACTTTTAGTCTTCTCCTTCACAGCTGGCTCTGTAACCAAAAATACAAAATCTTAAAGCTATAAGTTCAAACTTTAATATTGTACATTTTCTAAGGATCTCGTTTAATTACAAATATTAAATTCTACCAAAATGATCGTTACCTTTCTTTACAGCTGCAGCCGGTTTGCTTTTCTCTGCAGCTGGCTCTGTGGAAACAAATGCAACTGGTTTTAAATATAAAATAACACAATATTAAACACAGTTTTCCGTTCTGACGCCAGATAGAAGCTTCATTTTCCAACAAAATATTCATTACCTCTCTTAGCCGCCGCAGGACTTGTCGCTGTGTATATTGCATTACATTGAGTATTCCTTAAGAAAACCACATTTAGTTCATGTTCATTTACCTTTCTTTGCGGCACCAGCTTTGGTTTTCTCTTTGGAAGCATCTAGAATTGGATATGTTGTGTTTGTTATTCACATCTCAATGAAGTGTGTAATTATGATTGTATATTCGCAGAGAGCTGCAGCTTGTAGAGTGTGTATAATTTGTAGCGAGAGTGAAGTGCACGTTGTTGAATTAGTGATCTGAAAACATGAATTACCTTTCTCCGCCGTCTGTGCGGCTGCTGCTGCTGCCTCTGAGGGGATAATTGGAGGCAAACGGCCGCGTTGAGTTCATTTTCCGAAGTGAAAGCTTTCTTACAGATCACTGTGACATCAGCTGCAGGTATTCACTGTGAATCCTCCAGTTTACCGACAAATGAGGCTTTCGTGGAGGAAAGTACGTACCTTTTTCTGAATCTGCAGCCTTTGTTTTCTTCGGTGCAGCTGCAAAATATCACAGAGTCATTTTTATTCACAGCTTCTGTTTAGAGACAAGTTTAACTTCAAATGAAACATATGGTACCTTTCTTTATAGCGGGGGCTTTCACTTCTTCCTCGACTGGCTCTGACTCTTTAGGGGAGAAGAGTTTAGTCGTGAAATTCAATGTTTAATAGTTGTATTTAAAGTTTAGTTAGGTAACATTTTAAATCTTATATCTCAACCGTTCAGCTATATTCAGAAGCTTAAGATATTCATAGTAATGACGTTCAGACAAAGGCAGCAGTGGAAAATCAAATACTAACGTTGACGTGGATTTTAAAATTAGTCAACGTTTTTTTTGATAAATCCAATAAGTCTGTTTCTTCAGTTCTGTGCACAGCCTTACCTGGAATATTCTGATTGTAAGAGAATATTTTAATCTGATCTTGATTATAGAGTTTCTTATCTTTTCTTAGAATCTGTGATATTGCAAACATCTTTGTATTAAAGTCAAAGCTCCTCTCTGTAAGTTGAGGTCACAGGTCAAAAGCTTCTCCCCCTTTCCTGTGGGGGAAGGGTTCCTGCCTCCATGCAGTTTGCGAGACAAACAGATTATTGTCTCACATCTGCTATTGATTAGGTAAAACGCGGGTTTCTGATAGTTCCGCCTCTTCTCATGTTGAGGCGGGCTGTGTCTTCTTTGTGTCAGAGATGACTTGGTAGACCACAGGGATGTGTGAAACTAAGTAATCTCCCCGGCTGTATTAAATGTACTCTTAAATAAACTCTCAGTGCTGTGGCTAAAGACGATCCAGACTCCTTCATTCCACCTCAACATTGCAACTCAGAAGTTTCCTTCACACTGATAACATATTTTTGCAAGGTGCACCTTTAGGTTTTTCTTAACGCAAGACACTAAAGGCAAATGTTTTATGCAATGGTCAATATTTTAAGAGAATTTGGCTTTCTTGACACGAGTCTCTCCTAAAATGATCAGAAGTTATTATTAGATTACACCGCATTTGCATATATGAACATAAAATCTAACAAAACAACAAACTTGAAATACAAAATATATCTGTCATGATGTAAGAAATAAACTCGGGGACATTTGTATAGTGATCAAGCTCATTTCTAAAGCTTTTATGTCTTTGAGGGCCATGTTTGAAAGTTTGCCATCATTACTCACACAGAATGAATATAAGATGAACTCTATGTCATGTTAAAATCTACTGTATAAGAATTAGAGCTGCACAATTAATCTGAATGTAATTGAAGTCCTAATATTGACTATAGTGCAAGAATAAATGTATTATGGAGCTGCGTAGAAGTCCCGGCCTAGATGTGTACTTCTACGGACTTGGAAAAATGTATTTAGTTTGGTACGGATGCTCTTCACACCATGATCAATTTAAATACATCTTTGAGAAGGATGAGCATTCTCAATCCCTTTTCATATCATGATCCCAATTGCTGCAGTCAAAATTAGTTATTTTTTAAAGTTATTTGACTCATTACTGATGAATGAACATGAGAGTCTGAGTTGTGATGAATTGGTCTCTCCTCACGTTGTTCAGCAGCTGGACTCTGAGTCTCCGGCTCAGCGGGAGCTTCAGTCTCTGCAGGCGGAGCTTCAGCTGCTGGTTTCTGCTGCTCTGTTTCTGCTTCTGGTTGTACTGGTGGCATGTGTTGTTCTGGGGGAGGCTGCATGTGTGGGTGCATGTGAGGGTGCATGTGAGGGTGCATGTGAGGGTGCATGTGTGGGTACGGCTGGTATTGAAACATTGGGTGCATGTGCTGCTGATAGAGAGGGTGCATGGGAGGGGGAGCTCCAGGGTCCAAAGGGTGAGAGGGGTGAGCCGTCAGAACCGGAGCTGAGGGAGCTGGGAAATGTGAAATGTTTTATATTTAAACAGAAGAAATGGAAAACATGGAGAAACATATGATCACTCTGGTAATAAAACATATTAAAGGGGCCTTATTATGCTATTTTCAGGCGTATATCAGTCTGAGTGTCTCTACTTTAAAGAGTCCTCTCCTGCTGATGTTCAGGTGTATATCAGTATGTAGTGTCTCTACTTTAAAGAGTCCTCTCCTGCTGATGTTCAGGTGTATATCAGTATGTAGTGTCTCTACTTTAAAGAGTCCTCTCCTGCTGATGTTCAGGTGTTTATCAGTTGTAGTGTCTCTACTTTAAAGAGTCCTCTCCTGCTGATGTTCAGGTGTATATCAGTATGTAGTGTCTCTACTTTAAAGAGTCCTCTCCTGCTGATGTTCAGGTGTATATCAGTATGTAGTGTCTCTACTTTAAAGAGTCCTCTCCTGCTGATGTTCAGGTGTATATCAGTATGTAGTGTCTCTACTTTAAAGAGTCCTCTCCTGCTGATGTTCAGGTGTATATCAGTATGTAGTGTCTCTACTTTAAAGAGTCCTCTCCTGCTGATGTTCAGGTGTTTATCAGTTTGTAGTGTCTCTACTTTAGATAAGATTACATATGTACCTCATTTACAATTTCATCCCTTTTTACATTATATATTTGTGCTATAATATATTATACAATACATACATTGAACACTGTCCATGTTTTAAAAGAACCAATGAAAGAATACAACAGTGTAAATACCTGGCATGGTTGGAGGAGGGTACGGGTTGTCTGTGACCACGTGATGAACTGGAAGATACATTTGTTTTTAATGAAGTTGTTATAAAATATGATATTTATTTCCCCTCAATAATAATAATAGAGTTACTTACCGTACCAGCCGGGAGGGGACGGGCAGTAAACTGGTGCAGGTCTGCAGGGTCCGACTGCAACACATCAACACATGTGTTATTGTCAGAGATGGCAAAAGTACACACATCCTTTATTCAAGTAGAAGTACAGATACTCGTGTTTAGTAGAAGTAGAAGTACTGACTAAACTTCTTTATTCAAGTCAAAGTAAAGAGGCTTTGAAATGTACTTCAGTAAAAAGTACCCATAACTAGCAGCTGTTTTAAAGAGTACCTGACCTCCCTTTATATTAATAGAACAATAATGTCATTGTTAGCTAATGAATGTTTCCATGCTGAACAACGGCAACATGACAACGTTTCCATTGGTCCCTCTTCTTTAGAGAAGACCAGGAAATGATGGATACACGGATCGTGTTCAAATCAATAGGCACGCAATGACTCTAAAGAATAATGATCACGCATCAAACACACATTCAGACTAAAGGAACCAGCTGTTTGGAAAATGAGAGAAGTAGAAAGTACAAGTATTTGAGTTCAACATGTAACAAGTAGAAAGTACAGGTATTTGTGTTCAACATGTAAGAAGTAGAAAGTACAGGTATTTGGGTTCAACATGTAAGAAGTAGAAAGTACAGGTATTTGTGTTCAACATGTGAGAAGTAGAAAGTTCAGGTATTTGTGTTCAACATGTAAGAAGTAGAAAGTACAGGTATTTGTGTTCAACATGTAAGAAGTAGAAAGTACAGGTATTTGTGTTCAACATGTAAGAAGTAGAAAGTACAGGTATTTGTGTTCAACATGTGAGAAGTAGAAAGTACAGGTATTTGAGTTCAACATGTGAGAAGTAGAAAGTACAGGTATTTGTGTTCAACATGTAAGAAGTAGAAAGTACAGGTATTTGTGTTCAACATGTAAGAAGTAGAAAGTACAGGTATTTGAGTTCAAAATGTAAGAAGTAGAAAGTACAGGTATTTGGGTTCAAAATGTAAGAAGTAGAAAGTTCAGGTATTTGGGTTCAAAATGTAAGAAGTAGAAAGTTCAGGTATTTGGGTTCAAAATGTAAGAAGTAGAAAGTTCAGGTATTTGGGTTCAACATGTGAGAAGTCAAAGTAAAAAGTCGTCAGAAAAACAAGTAGTGGAGTAAAGTACTGATACCAGAAACATGTACTTAAGTAACAAAGTATTTGTACTCCACTACTTCCCACCTCTGATCATTGGGTTATTTTTCTTGAGTATTTATCCAAGTATATTCACATGTTTATAGGAAAAAACTTTACAATATATAAAGGATATCATAGTGTCACCTTCTCCAGATTCTGTGACTTCTTCCTGTTTTTTGGTCTCTGGCTCTTTTTCTGCTTCTGTCTCTGTAGAAAAAACAAAAACAACTCTGAATTAGGGGTTTAAGGTCTTTACAGATGTTTTTATATGATGGGCAATAAAAACGGCATAAAACACTTGACATACGAAGACTATGTGTTTGCATTGTCTTTACTTTGCACTTGCAAGATTTGAGGTGAATAATCAAATCTCTAAAAGATAACCCATCAACACTTGAATATATTTGAATCGTACTTGACAACAGTAGTCTTTAAATGGTTCATATAATAATAATAATAATAATAATAAAGTATTTCTCTGTAAATATGTTCATCTGGCTCTTATGACAGTATGAGTTTGAGTCTGAAGTTATTATTGTTGCAGCAAATTCTTCATCTTACCTTTTTTGGGAGTCTTGGCTGCAATCTTTGCTGCTCTCTTGGCTTTATATTGGAATATTAAAGAAAAATACATCCTATTTATAAAGGTTGTGACAGAAATAGTGACAAAAATGCATTCATATCAGACGCGCAAATCAAGATATTGAAGCAGATATTTATTTTATAATGTTGACTTTTTCTTTTATTCTCTATTGGTAATTTTCTTACATTTTAAGCTTAATTTAAAAAGGTTTGTTAAAAGTGATCCTTCTTTTTATGGCGGAAAACTACTCTATACTAAGCCACTGCTAACAGCTGGTTAGCTAAGTTTTGCGTAGCTTAGCATAGCTTAGCATAAAGACTGAAAACAGGGGGAAACTGCTAGCCTAGCTTAGTCACCGTGTCACAAGCTACACTTACCGTACTCTACAGTTCAGTGATTAACATGTAAGATTCGCTGGTAAATGAGATTACCTCTGAGAAGAGCAGGGAGTTTCGCAGCGCCTCTGGCTTTGGGCTCAAAGAACGCCATTCTGGGTAAACCTGGTTAATATAACACATGCTCATATTTTAATTATTAACATCACAATAACACCAAAGATTCTACAAATTAACTTAAAGATGACGTGTTACAGTATGAGTGTTACCTTTTCTTATTGGCTTTTCACCGGTCTTCAAAGCTTCACGCTCTTAAAATAAGAAGTAAAACATTAACAAACAATACAAATAAGATAACAAGCTTTGTTATAGCCATACAAAAATATTTAGTATCACATTTTAAAGGCTTGGATGATGAATTCCCCCTCAAATGTAGCATTGACTCGAAATCCAGCCTCCAACCGATGTTTAGTTTTTGTTGCTTGATTTCTATTTACACTCCTAACTTTTATAAGGATTTGTATGTGGTTTAAGGGAAAGAAAGAGTCTAACATTCACATTTCTCCATACCCTTTTTGCTTCTTACAGATGAAACTCGCTTTGGGGGATCTGAGGAAAGAAATAAGACATTACAAAATAATCACTTATCATAAATAATTAATAATTACAGAAGTGCATATACCAAAGAAATAGTACATTACATCCTGGTAATGAAGCTCAGTGCAAGTTCAACCAGGAACAGTGGCATGCACAGACATTTATAGGGGCAGGTGCTCAAGAGGAAAAAAAAGGGCACCTTCTGAGTCGTCGTGGCGGTGTATTCGTGCGAAACTACGCGCGAATAAACGCGCGAATAATGGCGCAAATGGCTTTCCATACTAGGGCCCTTTTAATCGTGTTGCTGCGTGCTGCTGCACCACACACCCGCCGTGGCCGTCTGACTGAGTGACTGACTGCTCTGCGCGCTGCGCGTTCACGTTGAGATCAGGGAAGGGAGGGGCTGCAGCCAGGGCACGTACGGGAGTGCCGCGGGGCACGTGTGGGGATGTCTGACAAAATTACAACGCGCATTTGGGGCATTGTTGTATATATTAGAAGCTTTTAATCCAGATTTGATCGATGTTACCATGAGCCACATACAGTACACTGTAAAAAAAAAAAAAACTGTAAAAAACGAACTTTCAAAAGGGCACATTGCTGTCCAGAGGGCAAAACGGGCAGGTGCTCAAGCACTAGCTAGAGTCTATGTGTGCACGTCTCTGACCAGGAAGACCGTCTTTACTCATTCATTTACTATTTCTATGTTACTACTCTCTCCTCTCAATAAGTGATCGGGGGTGTCACTCCCCAGCTTATACAATCACTTCACTCTATTCTCACAAGCCTATCATAGCGCTCCGCTAACCCTTTTAAATCTGCTCTCCCCTCTGACAGCTGTCATTTCAGGTGACTCGACACAACCCGCTCCACCCCTTTTCACCTCCTGTCCCTCTGAATCCAGGGTCAAGCTAAGCCCCTCCCCTTCAGACCGACCCCAACTATCCATTCACCACCACCAGGGTCAAGCTAAGCCACTCCCCTTCAGACCGACCCCAACCATCCATTCACCACCACCAGGGTCAAGCTAAGCCACTCCCCTTCAGACCGAACCCAACCATCCATTCACCACCACCAGGGTCAAGCTAAGCCCCTCCTCTTCAGACCGACCCCAACTATCCATTCACCACCACCAGGGTCAAGCTAAGCCCCTCCCCTTCAGACCGACCCCAACTAACCATTCACCACCACCAGGGTCAAGCTAAGCCACTCCCCTTCAGACCGACCCCAACTATCCATTCACCACCACCAGGGTCAAGCTAAGCCACTCCCCTTCAGACCGACCCCCAACTATCCATTCACCATCACCAGGGTCAAGCTAAGCCCCCCCCCCCCCCCCCTTCAGACCGAACCCAACTATCCATTCACCACCACCAGGGTCAAGCTAAGCCCCCCCCCCCTTCAGACCGAACCCAACTATCCATTCACCACCACCAGGGTCAAGCTAAGCCACTCCCCTTCAGACCTAACCCAACCTATCCATTCACCACCACCAGGGTCAAGCCTAAGCCCCCCCCCCTTCAGACCGAACCCAACTATCCATTCACCACCACCAGGGACAAGCTAAGCCACTCCCCTTCAGACCTAACCCAACCATCCGTTCACCACCACCAGGGTCAAGCTAAGCCCCTCCCCTTCAGACCGAACCCAACTATCCATTCACCACCACCAGGGTCAAGCTAAGCCCCTCCCCTTCAGACCGACCCCAACTATCCATTCACCACCACCAGGGTCAAGCTAAGCCACTCCCCTTCAGACCTAACCCAACCATCCATTCACCACCACCAGGGTCAAGCTAAGCCACTCCCCTTCAGACCGAACCCAACTATCCATTCACCACCACCAGGGTCAAGCTAAGCCCCCCCCCTTCAGACCTAACCCAACCATCCATTCACCACCACCAGTGTCTAGACCCCGGGGGGTTTCATCGGGTCGGTTCTCCCCTCCCGAATGATACTCCTGCACAACGTGGCCTAATCGCCAAAACTCCATTACATTCATTTGTGTATTCCTGGCAATAAATATGTATTCTTACATCAAAACCGTCTCTGCTGATTGAACTGCAGTAAGTCAAAATGTATATTCAGTATGAATTTAGTATTTTTTGTATAGGTAGGAAACAGCATTTTATTGCAAGAACCCAAATAAAAAATCTTTGGAGTCTACAGTTTCTCTACTATGTGTTTTTAATGCATTTTCTTTCATGTAAAGACAATAATTGAACATGCTAAAGTATCTCAAACCTTTTTTCTCCACAGTCTTGGTGTCAGGCTCTTTGGCCTTTCCAGAGTGCATACAGGGACACTCTGAAACACAAAGAAAGCCGGTAAATGTGATAAAAGCTCTGAGTATCCTATTAATTGTATCCATTATCGGTTATAGATACAAGTATGAGATGTAATGGAGATATGTGAAATTAAACACCCTAATGAACTGAATGACTTGAGAGGAAGTAAAGTATACATAACTGGCATATCTAGAGAGAGTTCATGTATTATAAATGAACAAGCTAAAAAAATCACCTAACACACCAAACACCCTTAAAATACTCTAACCCTTATTATTAAATGGTCCAAAACACGTTATTTCCTCAGTCAAAACATTAGTTTAAAATGAGTTACAAATAATAAACAGATATGACAACGGGGGAAATAATGGTAGAAATTAAAAGCATTTCAGAGTAGAATAAGTTATTTGTATTTAATTTAAATTCTTTATCCGTCATCCTCTGACCTGCTGCTTCAGTCTCTTCCTCCTCAGCTTCAGGGACGGGTTTGATCACATCCACCGACGCCTTCTCCTCCTCATCGTCGTCTTCATCGTACTCTTCCTCTTTTTTATCTTCAAGCTCGTCCACAGATTTCTTCAGTTCAGGTGTTGGCTCTTCATCTTCCCCTCCCTCATCGTCATCATCTTCCTCGAGAGCAGCAGGCTGAGAGAGGACTGAGGAGAAACTGATTTTATTTTGTGAGCTGACACTCAGAGTTATTGATATATTAACTGACAGGAGTCAAAGTATTTCTACCTAAAAACTGTAAGGAATAGTTTGTGGTTGTTTCGTTGATCAGATTCAGGTTTGGCTTGATTGAGAAATATAATAGGACAATATAAATAAAGGCTAAAGTGCAACAAAACAAAATCTGATGGACCTTTGTGACCCAAAACTAGGTACCTAGTATATTACAATTTGCTTGATACCAATGTGTGGATTTTTTGATCTTTTCCATATCTTTGTGTTTAGTAGAGACGATACATATGAGTGGATAAAAAGCACCTAATTTAGCTGTACAATTCAAAAATAAATTAAACTTATGTTGGATTTTATTATATCTTATTCATATCAATTTAAGGATTGTGTTTTTTTTTGTCTTGTTAGATGCATTGGACTGTAAGGAAGTACGTAAGAAGCATGAAACCTAAAAACATTAGATTTAATAAGCTTATAGATTATACGTTTTTCCTTGATTCCTTTGCAGCACCACACATGAATGGGGTTTGAGTCAAATGTAAGTTTACATCGTCCAGCTTTTAACAAATATTATGCAAATATGAGACATGTAATGTTTTGCTGCTCAGAGAAAGAAGGTGGGAAAAGTAACACTATTGATTTCACGTCCCTTAAAAATAATTATATTTTTAGAGAAACAGGGACATTTTTACAATGTTTTAATTAGTTTTAATTATGTGTGGAAATCTCAGCAGGTGTGTGTTTGTGTGTGTGTGTGTGTGTGTGTGTGTGTGTGTGTGTGTGTGTGTGTGTGTGTGTGTGTGTGTGTGTGTGTGTGTGTGTGTGTGTGTGTGTGTGTGTGTGTGTGTGTGTGTGTGTGTGTGTGTGTGTGTGTGTGTGTCTCACTGATGTTTTCTGCCTCATCCTCCTCTGAGTCGTCTTCCTCTGAAGCTGATGTGATGTCATCTTCCTCTTCCTCGTCTGCCTCAGTCTTCACTGCCTCCTTCTGGACGGTAAGCACCGCTGCAGAGGAAGCTGCAAGTACACAGTGTAGTATAAGTACACAGTGTAGTATAAGTACACAGTGTAGTATAAGTATACTGTACAAATATGAGCTTTTATATGTATTGTCATATACTGACAACATGTTGGCATAGAACAGGACTGTTGGATGAATGGATGTTATGAGAAAAAGCAATAGAAATATGTAACTGCACAACAGCAATATCAGCTATTATTTTATATACAAATGTGATTTATCAATTTTTTAAAGGGACATTACCTATTTTATAGTAGATATACCTATCATGCAAAATGCACTTTTTTATGTCTTTTATACATAAATACATGTCCCCGGTGTGTCGGGGAACTCACGCAGCGTCAGGAAATTAAACCCTCTCTCTTTTCCTCCGTACCCAAATCTCTAAAAACGGGGAACAACGGAGCTGATCCAGATTTGCGTCCGATATGATGTAATATCTGAAATGTGGACCCACGGCCCAATCAGAAACGTTGCTATCAGAAACAATGCCCGACTGTTTTGGACGTAATATGGTCGGTGTTTACATTAGCATCGCTATCACTCAGAGCTAACCTGTACTGGAGAGCATGTGTGTGAAGAAGCAGGAAGTAAAAAGGAACTCACCTTGTGGTATAACCGGCAAGAGAGAAAGCCTTTGAGCTCCAAACTGTTTCAGAGAGAATCCTTGATAATCCATGATATGGCGTTTCATCACGGCAGTATTTAGTATTCTAGACCAGGGGTGTCAAACTCAATTTCATCTCGGGCCACATCAGCATCATGGTCGCACTCAAAGGGCCGGTTTTATATACATACAAAAAATACATATATCAATATTTAATATATTTAAAAGAATGTATTATATTACATTATTGCCGTCTGCATTGGATTATTATCGGATAGGGTAATAACTTAATAAGTCTCTTCAGTGAGAATATCACAAAATGATTTAAAAGAAAAGCCAAATTCTGGACAAAAAGTCAAGAAATAAGTGACATTTTGAAAAAAAAGTCAGATTCTGAGAAGAAAAGTCAAATTTGAGATGCATTGTGGGACATGTAGTTTATGGGCAACGTGCTTCTGTAAAGTAGCATGTAACCGTATAATTATTATATTATATTATATTCTTTGCAAGCTCTTGTGGGGCCACATTAAATGAAGTCACAGGCCGGATTTGGCCCCCGGGCCTTGAGTTTGACACCGCTGGTCTAGACAGTAGCTGCCGGGTCCCGCATGAGCTCCGCCCCCTCCTTTTTTTTTTTAATCAATTTTTTTTAAAGCTTTATAAATAAAATCAGCACTTTTGAAACAGGAAGTGAAACAGAGGGATATGAGGCATGGCTAGAATTAACTGTTTGGTGTTTTGAGCAAAACACTTCATAGACATGTGTTTTATATATCTGTATATATCTGAGACGGATGCTGTTGCCTACACACAGCGTGATAGCTGACCTTTAAGAGTTCATGATGAACTTATTTAATTTGACAGAAAGCATTTCCTCTGGCAGTGGAGTGCTGTAATAGTTCATTAAAGTCATTCATAATTCTGCACTATACCTGCTAGCAAGATGTCAACATCATCTTCATCAACATCTTCATAATCATCATCGTCTTCGTCATCTTCACTAGCTAAAGACTCTGATGTTACTTCATCATCATCTTCATCACCACCGTCGTCTTTTTCAGCGTCAACAAATGTTACTTCTCCTTCCTGATCCAAGGTGAACTCAAACGAGTCGATAACTTCTTCATCATCATCTTCATCGCCGGTCGTCTCAAAGGAGACGTCTTCACTGAGGATGGTCTCTTCATCTGTCGAAAGAGCGAAGTCGTCATCGTCTTCATCATCATCTTCATCGCCTAACACTCCGCTGTCTGTGCTCTCCAGAGGAGGCCCTTCCTCCTCTTCCTCTTTATCCTCCTCTTCGTCAGGGACGTCTTCATCAATGACATCATCAGGTGTGTCGTCGTCAAGGTCAATTTGGAATTCTTTGGCAAGGTCAAAGTCGAGATCTTCGTCCTTGAGATCAACGTCTTCATCATCGTCTTCGTCATCTGCAAAGTGATCGGAGGAGGCGACGGAGAAGTCCTCGTCTGATTGGTCTTCATCTTCATCATCCTCTTCAACAAGTTTGACATCTTCTTCATCATCATCATCCTCGAGCGCAGGTAAAGGAGGAAGCTCTTCCTCTTTTAGATCATCATCATCTTCATCATCCTCACTGGCAGCAGAAATAGGAGGAAGATCAAGCTCCAGGTCTTCATCGCTGTCTTCTAAAATGATGTCGTCGCTATCGGTTGTCACAACACCCTCCGCTAATCTGTCATCTTCATCATCCTCTTCGTCACTGGAGAGAAGGTCTGATTCACTGAGGTCTGAGGAGTCAGCGAATGCATCGTCATCCGAGTCGTCTTCATCGTTATCTTCATCAGTCAGAGCAACGTCTTCGTCGCTGTCCTCTTCGTGTTTGTCTTCATGTTCATCAAGAAGGGCGACATCTTCATCACTGTCGTCGACGGCAACAGGAGCATCAGACTCAGAGTCAGGAGTCACCGCCGACTCTTCATCCTCTGACGTGGAGATGGGTTCAGGAGAAACGTCATCATCTTCATCGTCATCATCATCATCGTCAGCATCAGCAGCTGCAGGTTCGGACTCTTCTTCATCATCATCATCATCATCTGCCTTCTCTTCTTCATCATCATCATCATCATCAGCATCATCATCATCATCAATCTCAGCTGCAGCTACTTCAGATTTTGACTCTTCTTCCTCTTCTTCTGCCTTCACTTCATCATCATCATCATCATCAGCAGCAGCAGCAGCAGCAGCTGCTTCTGCCGCTTCTGCCCCGTCTTCCTCTTCCTCCTCAGCAGCATCTGCTCCTTCCTCCTCTTCCTCATCCTCAGCAGCTTCTGCTCCTTCCTCCTCTTCCTCCTCCTCAGCAGCTTCTGCTCCTTCCTCCTCTTCCTCCTCTTCTTCGTCCACAGCTTCTGCTCCTACCTCCTCTTCCTCATCCTCAGCAGCTTCTGCTCCTTCCTCCTCCTCCTCCTCCTCAACCGCTTCTGCTCCTTCCTCCTCTTCCTCCTCCTCCTCTTCCTCATCCTCAGCAGCTTCTGCTCCTTCCTCCTCTTCCTCCTCCTCAGCAGCTTCTTCCTCCTCCTCCTCGTCATCCTCAGCAGATTCTGCTCCTTCCTCCTCTTCCTCTTCCTCCCTCCTCCTCTTCCTCATCCTCAGCAGCTTCTGCCCCTTCCTCCTCTTCCTCCTCTTCCTCCTCTTCCTCCTCTTCATCCTCAGCAGCTTCTGCCCCTTCCTCCTCTTCCTCCTCTTCCTCCTCTTCCTCCTCTTCATCCTCAACCGCTTCTGCTCCTTCCTCTTCCTCCTCTTCATCCTCAGCAGCTTCTGCCCCTTCCTTCTCTTCATCCTCCTCCTCCTCAACCGCTTCTGCTCCTTCCTCTTCCTCCTCTTCCTCATCCTCAGCAGCTTCTGCTCCTTCCTCCTCCTCATCCTCCTCTTCCTCCCCCTCCACTCCCTCCTCCTCCTCCGCCTCATCCTCATAATATTTTTCATACTCCTCATCGTACTCTTCCTCATCATCCTCATAGTACTCGTCATCGTCCTCATCATCCTCCTCCTCTTCCTCCTCTAGTTCTTCCTCTCCCGCCTCCTCCTCTTCCTCCTCCGCAGCAGCAGCCTCCACCTCCTCCTCCACTCCTTCCTCTTCCTCTTCCTCTTCCTGTTGTAGGTCTTCATCTTCATCTTCCACCACCTCTATCACTGGCTGGCTGGCCGGTGCTTGCATCCCGATGACTGGAGAGAAAAAAGCAACATATATTTAATCTAGAAATCCCTTTGAATGATGTGGTTTCATATCATCATCAAATGAAGCTCCGTCACAAAGACTTTACCTCCAGTGCTGTAACAAAGGGGCTCATGAGATTTGAAAAGGACAATTAGCATCCGATGTAGCAACAATGAAACATTATAAAGTTACTTTATCGGTAAAACATCAATCTCTAACTCGAGGGTCTCACCTTTACTTCGGGACGGTAGAAACTCTCCTAGAACACATAGAAGGAGAAATCAAAATCAGCGACACAACGTAACAAAACTACGGATTACGTCTGTTAGGGAATAATTTGCTTAAGTATTCAACCTTCGACACAGTTCATAATTTTCTCCTCTCACTGTCTCCTTTCCCACGGCATAGGTCTACGGCCTTGGGTATTGCTGCTATCTCTCTTAAGGGGGAGGAGCTTGGGTATTGCTGCTATCTCTCTTAAGGGGGAGGAGCTTGGGTATTGCTGCTATCTCTCTTAAGGGGGAGGAGCTTGGGTATTGCTGCTATCTCTCTTAAGGGGGAGGAGCTTGGGTATTGCTGCTATCTCTCTTAAGCGGGAGGAGCTTGGGTATTGCTGCTATCTCTCTTAATGGGGAGGAGCTTGGGTATTGCTGCTATCTCTCTTAAGGGGGAGCAGCTTGGGTATTGCTGCTATCTCTCTTAAGGGCGAGGAGCTTGGGTATTGCTGCTATCTCTCTTAAGGAGGAGGAGCTTGGGTATTGCTGCTATCTCTCTTAAGGGGGAGGAGCTTGGGTATTGCTGCTATCTCTCTTAAGGGGGAGGAGCTTGGGTATTGCTGCTATCTCTCTTAAGGAGGAGGAGCTTGGGTATTGCTGCTATCTCTCTTAAGGAGGAGGAGCTTGGGTATTGCTGCTATCTCTCTTAAGGGGGGAGGAGCTTGGGTATTGCTGCTATCTCTCTTAAGGAGGAGGAGCTTGGGTATTGCTGCTATCTCTCTTAAGGAGGAGGAGCTTGGGTATTGCTGCTATCTCTCTTAAGGAGGAGGAGCTTGGGTATTGCTGCTATCTCTCTTAAGGGGGAGGAGCTTGGGTATTGCTGCTATCTCTCTTAAGGGGGAGGAGCTTGGGTATTGCTGCTATCTCTCTTAAGGAGGAGGAGCTTGGGTATTGCTGCTATCTCTCTTAAGGGGGAGGAGCTTGGGTATTGCTGCTATCTCTCTTAAAGGGGAGGAGCTTGGGTATTGCTGCTATCTCTCTTAAGGAGGAGGAGCTTGGGTATTGCTGCTATCTCTCTTAAGGAGGAGGAGCTTGGGTATTGCTGCTATCTCTCTTAAAGGGGAGGAGCTTGGGTATTGCTGCTATCTCTCTTAAGGAGGAGGAGCTTGGGTATTGCTGCTATCTCTCTTAAGGAGGAGGAGCTTGGGTATTGCTGCTATCTCTCTTAAGGGGGAGGAGCTTGGGTATTGCTGCTATCTCTCTTAAGGAGGAGGAGCTTGGGTATTGCTGCTATCTCTCTTAAGGGGAAGGAGCTTGGGTATTGCTGCTATCTCTCTTAAGGGGGAGGAGCTTGGGTATTGCTGCTATCTCTCTTAAGGGGGAGGAGCTTGGGTATTGCTGCTATCTCTCTTAAGGGGGAGGAGTTTGGGTATTGCTGCTATCTCTCTTAAGGGGGAGGAGCTTGGGTATTGCTGCTATCTCTCTTAAGGGGGAGGAGCTTGGGTATTGCTGCTATCTCTCTTAAGGAGGAGGAGCTTGGGTATTGCTGCTATCTCTCTTAAGGAGGAGGAGCTTGGGTATTGCTGCTATCTCTCTTAAGGGGGAGGAGCTTGGGTATTGCTGCTATCTCTCTTAAGGGGGAGGAGCTTGGGTATTGCTGCTATCTCTCTTAAGGAGGAGGAGCTTGGGTATTGCTGCTATCTCTCTTACGGGGGAGGAGCTTGGGTATTGCTGCTATCTCTCTTAAGGAGGAGGAGCTTGGGTATTGCTGCTATCTCTCTTAAGGGGGAGGAGCTTGGGTATTGCTGCTATCTCTCTTAAGCGGGAGGAGCTTGGGTATTGCTGCTATCTCTCTTAAGGAGGAGCAGCTTGGGTATTGCTGCTATCTCTCTTAAGGGGGAGGAGCTTGGGTATTGCTGCTATCGCTCTTAAGGGGGAGGAGCTTGGGTATTGCTGCTATCTCTCTTACGGGGGAGGAGCTTGGGTATTGCTGCTATCTCTCTTAAGGAGGAGGAGCTTGGGTATTGCTGCTATCTCTCTTAAGGGGGAGGAGCTTGGGTATTGCTGCTATCTCTCTTAAGCGGGAGGAGCTTGGGTATTGCTGCTATCTCTCTTAAGGAGGAGGAGCTTGGGTATTGCTGCTATCTCTCTTAAGGGGGAGGAGCTTGGGTATTGCTGCTATCTCTCTTAAGCGGGGAGGAGCTTGGGTATTGCTGCTATCTCTCTTAAGGGGGAGGAGCTTGGGTATTGCTGCTATCTCTCTTAAGGAGGAGGAGCTGGGTATTGCTGCTATCTCTCTAAGGGAGGAGCAGCTTGGGTATTGCTGCTATCTCTTAAGGGGAGGAGCTTGGGTATTGCTGCTATCTCTCTTAAGGAGGAGCTTGGGTATTGCTGCTATCTCTCTTAAGGAGGAGCTTGGGTATTGCTGCTATCTCTCTTAAGGGAGAGGAGCTTGGGTATTGCTGCTATCTCTCTTAAGGAGGAGGAGCTTGGGTATTGCTGCTATCTCTCTTAAGGGGGAGGAGCTTGGGTATTGCTGCTATCTCTCTTAAGGGGGAGGAGCTTGGGTATTGCTGCTATCTCTCTTAAGGAGGAGCAGCTTGGGTATTGCTGCTATCTCTCTTAAGGGGGAGGAGCTTGGGTATTGCTGCTATCGCTCTTAAGGGGGAGGAGCTTGGGTATTGCTGCTATCTCTCTTACGGGGGAGGAGCTTGGGTATTGCTGCTATCTCTCTTAAGGAGGAGGAGCTTGGGTATTGCTGCTATCTCTCTTAAGGGGGAGGAGCTTGGGTATTGCTGCTATCTCTCTTAAGCGGGAGGAGCTTGGGTATTGCTGCTATCTCTCTTAAGGAGGAGGAGCTTGGGTATTGCTGCTATCTCTCTTAAGGGGGAGGAGCTTGGGTATTGCTGCTATCTCTCTTAAGCGGGAGGAGCTTGGGTATTGCTGCTATCTCTCTTAAGGGGGAGGAGCTTGGGTATTGCTGCTATCTCTCTTAAGGGGGAGGAGCTTGGGTATTGCTGCTATCTCTCTTAAGGGGGAGGAGCTTGGGCGCATTGTTGTTGCCAGTCTATGACCGAGCACTTGGCGCACATTCTTTCCTATGGACGAGAGCTCTATAGATTCAAGGGTCCATCATTGCTTTAGTCTCACTGATAAAGAATGTTGATTATTACACTCTGAACTAGTTAAAACCTCAAAAGAGTTCTTCAGAATTGGTTTGGCAACCGCTGTGTCAACTCGTGACGCACCACCTGTCTTGTGAATTCTCCGGCCGAAACTCCAAATAAACCGTCAGTGTTTGCCACCAAAGCTCCAGCTCTCCTCGTGTCTCTCTGAGTCCTGACTCTCTATTGCTACAGAAGTTTCCCCCACAGCTTCCACACGGCAGCGTGCGTTGAAGCTTTCCGCCGGTGGGCGTGTCTGAAGCTCGACCAACAACCAATCACATGAATCTCCCGCCCCGGACACACAAGCACGCGGTTTGATTGGCTAGCGCTTGTACTGGCATATGATTTGATTGGCTGACGCTTCCGTCAAAGCTTCAACAGTTGAACTTTGTCGAGGCAAAGCGCCGAGACAGAACCACAATGCAGTTCGGCAAAGTGAATGGGAAGCTGCGTTGAAGCGTCAACGCACGTGTGGACGGGCCATTAAACTGGATCAAGTGTGTTACTCTTTAGATGTTAATTCACATCAAACACATCATAGTTTCAGTAGGAGTTTAGTAGCTCATGGAAGCAGTTATAAGAGTGAGAAACAGCCAAGCTTCTTATGAGAGAAGTTATTAATAAGAAACACACCTTTGATTGTTGCTAGTGATTAACCTTAGTGATACAAAGGTGAGGGACACGACTGATGAAATCCATTTAGAGTTAATCCATGTGTTCATTACAATAAATAATCATAAGATACCTTTTGCTTTCTTATTCTTCCCCTCCACTGCCTCCTCCTCCCCCAACCACCTTGAATCTTTGAGATGATTCATACAGAAATGCAATGCAATCCCCATGCAACACATTTGTGTATTTCTATGTCTATGAAGGTGGAAAACTCCTCTGAACGCATCGTTTTCTATCATCATAATCCACTGCTTTCAGTTTAATAGATAATATTTCCCTAATGAAGTCCAGCGAGCACACATTGCAGTACATGTACAGTTGAGTGAGATGTTTTGTTTAATGATTATGCATTCTCTAAGAGTAAACACTACAACAACTTGAAATCTTGCCCAGTGTCTAACATCTAGTCAGAATATGTCTCGACTCCTGATATACGACACAATAACTTCAGAAGTGACATCGGGTCTTGGTTTTAGACAAAGCCTCATCTTGTTAAGTCAAAATATCTTATTTTGAGTCGTATCTCAGATGAAACACATTTGTTTACATATTTATTTGAAAATCACCTAACATCAGAAAACCTTTGAGCATTTGCGGCTTATATTGAAACACAACATCTCCTGATTCTGGTCAAATATAGTTCAAAGTGAGTTCTCGCAGCAGACCTTATTTATCTAAATATCCCGTCTTATTTCAAGCTAATTTTCACTTGTTCTTTTGGCAGATTTTTCTACTTATTTCAAGTGAAAACAGCTTGTTTTCATAATTGTTTCACTTGTTTTTGGAGCAGCATTTTCTCCAGTGTGATATAAAGAACAGCACAGCAGCTAGCAAGCTTGCAGCAGAACAACAATCAATCAAATCAAAAATCGCATCAATACAAACCTTTTTTCCTCACTGCGTATAGATTTCCTATAAGAAGAGGAGACAAGGAATAAAAGCACTTTAATGTTTATGTTTTTGCAGCTTGACTGTTTGCTTTCTCTTGTTTTTAATGACTGTACCTTCGTCTTCTTCAGGAGCGACCATGTTGGCTGCAAAGCTGAAGATCATGCTGATTATATTTGTCGACTCCTCCATGGCGTCGTTCACCGCCTTTATGGGGTCTGCGCCGATCTTGCTGAGCCCTCCTGATGGAGCACGGATACAATCATTCATCACGGGGATTTCACGGATGTTTCTCCGTTAAACATCCAATTCCAGTGACTTTCTGAAACCACACATTTTCCCAAGACACACATCGCTCTGCCTTAAGGAAATGTCAGAAACATTACATCTAGAGCGATGGGTTGAACTGTGATGGGTCTAATGCCAAAATATGGATTCAGGTATTTATGATAATAATATGGAGCACCCACCTTCCAGTTTAACCTCAGCTAACAGCCTTCACATACTGCTGTGCGAAAGCATCACATGAACCCTCTTTCATCAAGTTATTCCTCATGCTGTAATCTGCTTTTTTACTTATTAAAATGTGGATGTTTTCTCATCACATTAAGCTTTAAACACATTACTAGAAAGCAGGGTTTTTTCTTCATATTGACAGATAGTCTCCTTAACCCTTAGATGCCCTTAGAGTGACTGGACCCGACTAAATCCCGACTAAAAACGCACCTATTTGCCGCTGCTTTTAATTGAGCTGCCCAAATCAGTATGCCTTTTTAGTCATGTATTCTGTACCTGCTGTGTTTATTTATTTTATTTCATTACCTTTGCTTATTATGCCTGTTTTTAAATGCCTTTTTAATAATGTATTTATGCTGTATTTGTTCTTAAATGTCTTTTGCTTTTAATCTGTAAAGCACTTTGAATCGCCACGTGCTGGAAAGTGCCTTGGACCCTGCACTCTTCCATAAGTGGGTCAAAAAGGACCCGCATTAGAATAATATTGGTTTTTATGCCATTTCTGTCATTTTGATTAAGAAAAATCACTTGTATAATATTTAGTATTATATTTTAATGCACACTAGAAATATTTAATATATAATTTGTTCACTATTTATAATCGTAGAAAAAAAATTTACATTTGGAAAAAAAACGAAATTCCATAGAATCATTTTTGACCCACTTATGGGAGCTTGGGGTAGAAATACAAAAACTACCATTTCTTCAAATGTAAATTTAAAATGTGAATGGCCTGATATCCAAAACATGTTTTTTGAGGAATAGCTGGAATATGAAATAATAAAAAAATGTAATTACAAAGAAACTTCAAGAAAACCACCTCACCGGGTCCAAAAAGACCCACGTATGCATCTAAGGGTTAAGTGCTTAAAAATACCTTTCATGTAATTGAATATAATTTGCAAGACCGATTGATGAAAGAGGACCGCTGTTTATTTGGAATCAGGGCAGATCTGAATCGGTGTACAAATTGGTGAAGAAGGACGAAAAACTAAATATGGATCTCCTTATTTAGATAATATTTAATGCATATTATCTCTTTATTCAAGTCTTGTTCATTAAGGAACCTAAACTTGACTAAAACAATTATAATTTTGCATATTTTTGAGCCCTCAATGCAACAAGATTTTCAGAAAAAGCAACGGGCATAATAAACATATACAAAAAAACATTTAAATAATGCATTTAAACCACAGAGATTTCAGATGAGGTTGATATTTATTTTTCAGACAGAATATCTTTCAGGACTTCTTCAATAAATCAAACTCACCTGAAGCAAAATGCAACCTTTTTTAAACAACAGAAAAACATGCCTCAAATACATAAACATCCAAAATACTTGTTCAGCCAAAGCTAAAGTAGTATCAGACAGAGATGCAGATAAAAAGCAGCTTGTTTTGAAGTCTGTCTAACATTGATAGCTTATATTAGCAGTCAATGTTTAGTTAGTAGATGTTTAGGAGAAAGCTTCTGGTCTGAGGGTTAGTAGCAGATAAGTTGCCTTGCCTCTATCCTTTAAAACCTTCCTGACGGCAGGAGGTGGGCGACCTGCAATAAGCAAAGACATTTAGCAAAGTGGAGAAGAAAACGATAAGATAAGAGAGGGAAGAAGGGGTTTTTGTGATGGCATGATGACGCTAAAGATGACGTTTAATCAATACTATGTGAGAAAGAACAACAGAGAAGTTGATATTTCTATAAATACCACTTTATTTCTCAACTTGTTCTTTGTCAATTGTTTCAAGATGAAATTATGAGCAATACTTTAGCATGGGACAAATATATGCACTGCTATGGTTTGGGTTTACTACGTTATTCCAGGTTCTTGCTTCTTGTGGTTTTACAGTGAGTTTAACGTATAAATGTTTAGAAAATGAAGGAGTTTGAACTAAACGGTTGATGTTAGGGTTAGAAAATTGAGTTGAACACAAACGGGAAATTAACAGATGAAGTTTTGGAAGCATTGTTTGTTTTAATGTGGTGAGGAGAAGGGGAACCAATGCTTGCAACTTTGTATAAAAGACGTAGAAATTAGTACATTCTATACCAGGGTAGTAAAATGTGTTGCATGAAAACGAGTTAAGAATAAATGAAGAATCATACTTAAATGAAGAAAGAGAAACATACAAGAAATACAAAGAATATACAGTGTAATCATTTCAGCTTCACAAGGGCAACATAGACTTCTAGAACACTTAAAAAGTCAATAATATGCAGCATTTCAACCCTTATTAACATGGCCTTATGTTATAACCCAACCCATCAGTACACAGCCACCTCGTCTTGTTGAATACATGAAATTAACTCCAGGCTAAAACCACACTACCCCTCTTTTATAGTTTACCATTTACAAAACAGAGGTTGATAGAAGTGTTAGACCACGTTGAAAATGCTTACACGAGTTTCATCCAAACCCTTAAAGAAGACGAGATCATTTGTGAAATGTACAAGAGTTTTAATGCCTGAATGGAAAGCATCATTTGTCATTTGCTCACCTGGTTGCTATGTGTATCTATATGTATATTACATTGCTTTCTCATGTCGCTGGACTTCTAAAACCAAACCAACATCCCAGGAGACGTGTAAGCCCTTAAAAAACAAACTTAAGTCCTGTTCAAAGCCCTTAAGACATTGTCCTTCACTCACAATAAATTCATCTTGACACAGAAAACCAATTAACTTAAAATCTCTAACCAACTGTCCTATGTCACTATTCAATAGTAAACTAAACCATGGGTAGCATATTGATAGTGATAGCTTGTATGCTAAGTTACTTTTTTCACCAACACTGCCCAACAAAACGGTTTTAAATGCCACTAACTGGTCTTATTTTAATTCACCCAAGTACTGTGAAAACTGAGTCAATCTGGCAGCCATGTTTTATCCAGATCCGTTCAAATATGGCGCCAAAATAAAGCCAAAGGTGCCACAATCTGCCTTGACTAGCTTAGCACAATATGGGATAAAGAAAAGTATATTTATGGTCTCCAACTGCAGGGTTTTCTGCAGTTTCATGCCCATTTTTCACAGAACACACTTACCTGAGACGGTCTTGTAGTCCACCAGATCAAACATGATGACAAAAACACAGGACCATGTTATGAGCAGAGCCAGGACCAGGATCCAGGCCAGAGGAGAGCTGAACGTGGAGTGGAGCTCTTCGTTTAAAGTCTTCTTGGGTTTTTGCCCCGGCGCCGGCCCGGAGTCCACAGCCTTACTGTCGATGACCATCGTGGTGGTGGACGACCGCGCTGAGGAGCAGAGAATCTGGGTCACATACAGAGCAGGAAATATGGCTTTTTATTTATAATATACTGTTTTTCATCAATAAATCACAGGTCTCAGATATATACAGAGACTGTCTCTGATTGGCTGAAACACCAAACAGATCATGGCAGCATTACCCATAATCCCCTCTGTTTCAGCCCTGTTTCCAAAGTGCTAATTCTCTGTCTGTTACTTTAGATGAAAATAAGGAGCCCCTCCCCACGCCCCTCTGAGAGAGGTTTGTTACAAAGAACTCAATGGTGCTCTAGGAGGAGATTCAGGTGATAAGGGGGGGGGGGGGGTTACCTTGGTTGCTGATTGGCTAATGGTTACACAAGACAAAACATCATTATGACATCATAAAGTGGCCAAAATCGGATCAGCTCATTTTCAGACAGGTTTTTATAGAAATGGATCAAAAAGAGAGAGAATCTTTGTTCCTGAAACTTTCAGAGTCTCTTTCCACAGAGGGGACACATGTTGATGTAGAAGAGACATGAAGAAGAGGGGACACATGTTGATGTAGAAGAGACATGAAGAAGAGGGGACACATGTTGATGTAGAAGAGACATGAAGAAGAGGGGACACATGTTGATGTAGAAGAGACATGAAGAAGAGGGGACACATGTTGATGTAGAAGAGACATGAAGAAGAGGGGACACATGTTGATGTAGAAGAGACATGAAGAAGAGGGGACACATGTTGATGTAGAAGAGACATGAAGAAGAGGGGACACATGTTGATGAAGAAGAGACATGAAGAAGAGGGGACACATGTTGATGTAGAGAGACATGAAGAAGAGGGGACACATGTTGATGTAGAAGAGACATGAAGAAGAGGGGACACATGTTGATGTGGAAGAGACATGAAGAAGAGGGGACACATGTTGATGTAGAAGAGACATGAAGAAGAGGGGACACATGTTGATGTAGAAGAGACATGAAGAAGAGGGGAAACATATTGATGTAGAAGAGACATGAAGAAGAGGGGACACATGTTGATGTAGAAGAGACAAGAAGAGGGACACATGTGATGTAGAAGAGACATGAGAAGAGGGACACATGTTGATGTAGAAGAGACATGAAGAAGAGGGGACACATGTTGATGTAGAAGAGACACTGAAGAAGAGGGGACACATGTTGATGTAGAAGAGACATGAAGAAGAGGGGACACATGTTGATGTAGAAGAGACATGAAGAAGAGGGGACACATGTTGATGTAGAAGAGACATGAAGAAGAGGGGACACATGTTGATGTAGAAGAGACATAAAGAAGAGGGGACACATGTTGATGTAGAAGAGACATGGAGAAGAGGGGACACATGTTGATGTAGAAGAGACATGAAGAAGAGGGGACACATGTTGATGTAGAAGAGACATGAAGAAGAGGGGACACATGTTGATGTAGAAGAGACATGAAGAAGAGGGGACACATGTTGATGTAGAAGAGACATGAAGAAGAGGGGACACATGTTGATGTAGAAGAGACATGAAGAATAGGGGACACATGTTGATGTAGAAGAGGGGACACATGTTGATGTAGAAGAGACATGAAGAAGAGGGGACACATGTTGATGTAGAAGAGACATGAAGAAGAGGGGACACATGTTGATGTAGAAGAGACATGAAGAAGAGGGGACACATGTTGATGTAGGAGACGTGAAGAAGAGGGGACACATGTTGATGTAGAAGAGACGTGAAGAAGAGGGGACACATGTTGATGTAGAAGAGACATGAAGAAGAGGGGACACATGTTGATGTAGAAGAGACATGAAGAAGAGGGGATACATGTTGATGTAGAAGAGACATGAAGAAGAGGGGACACATGTTGATGTAGAAGAGACATGAAGAAGAGGGGACACATGTTGATGTAGAAGAGACATGAAGAAGAGGGGACACATGTTGATGTAGAAGAGACATGAAGAAGAGGGGACACATGTTGATGTAGAAGAGACATGGAGAAGAGGGCACACATGTTGATGTAGAAGAGACATGAAGAAGAGGGGACACATGTTGACGTAGAAGAGACATGAAGAAGAGGGGACACATGTTGATGTAGAAGAGACATGAAGAAGAGGGGATACATGTTGATGTAGAAGAGACATGAAGAAGAGGGGACACATGTTGATGTAGAAGAGACATGGAGAAGAGGGGACACATGTTGATGTAGAAGAGACATGAAGAAGAGGGGACACATGTTGATGTAGAAGAGACATGAAGAAGAGGGGACACATGTTGATGTAGAAGAGACATGAAGAAGAGGGGACACATGTTGATGTAGAAGAGACATGAAGAAGAGGGGACACATGTTGATGTAGAAGAGACATGGAGAAGAGGGGACACATGTTGATGTAGAAGAGACATGAAGAAGAGGGGACACATGTTGATGTAGAAGAGACATGAAGAAGAGGGGACACATGTTGATGTAGAAGAGACATGAAGAAGAGGGGACACATGTTGATGTAGAAGAGACATGAAGAAGAGGATTTTGCATAATAGGTGACCTTTAATATTCTACGTTTTAACACATTAGTATTAAAACTAAACATCATGTTTACAAGAGAGGAAAAAGTACTCAGATCTTTTAGAGTTATCTGTAAATACATCAAGACAACAGCATATAATTAACTATAGAATACAAACAGTTAAATCATTGAAACTATGCACTCAAATAGAAGTCTAAAAATATTAATTTGACATCAAAATGGACCTAAAACACCAAAAGGCAAACCTCATGAGAGAATGTTAAAACATAAAGGACTGTTCAGACCCCTTCAGAGTTGTACAACCCAACAGACATTAGTAATGTAGTGGTACGGTCCAAGTTTCACCCTGTCTCGCGTATTTACACAAAATATATTAACTTATCCTGTAAGCCACTAGTGTTAGCAAGCTACCTTTTTTAGCTTACATTCAAGGAAAGGATTCATTTTGAAATCATGTTGCTGTCCATCGTACACATGTCTAATACTGACTGTTATTTTACCTCTGGTCTGTTCTCCACCAACTCCAGTATAACTTCATATAAAGCACCTAATCCATATTTTAAACGGACGGTACGGTACACCCAATAACTCAAGATTACATATGTTTCCTCGTCAAATATGTCAGCCTACACTAGTTGCAAATGTATGTGTGTGTGTGTGTGTGTGTGTGTGTCTGGTGTGTCCGTGTGTCTGGTGTGTCCGTGTGGGTGTGTGTGTGTGTGTGTGTGTGTGTGTGTGTGTGTGTGTGTGTGTGTGTGTGTGTGTGGTGTGGTGTGTGTGTGTGTGTGTGTGTGTGTGTGTGTGTGTGTGTGTGTGTGTGTGTGTGTGTGTGTGTGTGTGTGTGTGTGTGTGTGTGTGTGTGTGTGTGTGTGCGTGCGGGAAGCTCAGGCCACCTGTTGACTTTCTTCAGCTTGCTGTTGGCAGCTACAGAGGGGTACTCCATTACTGCTGACTCAAAAAGCTTTGCAGCACTCTTACAGACAGACAGACACACGCATACACACACACACACACACACACACACACACACACACACACACCTCTGTCTAACATCGTTACTCTGACTCCCACAGGTCGGTCCAAAATATGAATGACGGCATAAGAAAGCTCCAATTGGCTCGTGCAGAATGAGAGTCATGGCTTTGACGGCCTCTACTGGTTGAGTTAATGTTGTGCTGAGTTTTATATCAAAGAGGAAGTTAGAAAGAATACCAAACTAAATCCTCGTAGACATACGTAAGAAAAAAGATGGTAAAGCTATTAAATTCTTATTTGAACAACTTGCGCTGTGGCCTTAGCATCCTGATATCTATCTCCTCGTCTTTCCAGATCATGATACAAGTACTGACCACACTGCAATGAAATATGAAATGTAAACATTTAATGATCAGCTGTCTACAAATTAAATGTTATAATAAAATACGTTCATTTTAACACTAGACAACAGTTAGTGACTCAAACTGATTGGACGCTTCTTAGTTCAACCATGGTACCACTGGTCTCACTGAGGTTATATTGGGAGGTGCCCAGTACAACCACAGTCTGATGATGTCTAACTGTCCATGTTGTCTTAGACACTGGAGTAAATGGAGGGTAATATCTCACATGTGACATTCCAGTCTTTGTTGTTGAGTAGAGAGGGATATGTTTGAACACATACTGTTGACCGATATAGTAATCAAATCGACATGTTTGTTAAATTCACGAAACGTCTTCAACTATTAGACCAAAAGCGCCATTTGCCAAAGAATGCCAACTGGTGTAATCATACAGCAACAAACCTCTAGGAACTTTAAACATAGTTATTCCTCTGACCCTTGACCTCTCCTCAGGTGCCACCGTCAGGCTAAACAAATCCACTCATTCATGAGAAATAACATAATCCAGATGTCTAGATTGTCACGAAACTTCCTAATTTTCCTAAGATATCTATAGTGCTCAATTTTCGCACATTTCCACTTGGCCTTCTCCACTTTTCTGCCTCTGTTGACCCCATCTTTTTAAACCCAACTCTAAATGGTGTGACCAGCCATCCATGTACGATTCCTCCTTTTATGGCTGACCTGTGTCCACGACTTTTCTGTTGTTTCTCTCTCTGGGTTTCCATGACAGCCCAAAACAGTCATTAGGCGCTAGTTGTCGCCCGTTCAGTCAGAACAGAGGGAGGTGTAGCCATAACATTTCCTAAATAAGAGCAGAGAGCTGAACTGAGCACGGCAGAGACCTTTAAGATCGGCTGTTTGAGCACGTCCATGCTAATAAGTAGCATGAGTGTTGTTGTGCATCTGCTGGTGTTCACACTGCAAACTGTACATATGTTATATTCAGCACTTTGGCTCGACCAAAAATCGTTTTTAAAAATTTGCTATATAAATAAAACTTGATTTCATATAGACGTGCAATTATATTTAAAATGCAATAAAAAGTACTACAGGAATTGCCCATATCATAATCCTGCAATACAGAAAACAAGTCACAGATCTGAAGCCTATTTCTCAGATTGTTTGTATTTTTGTATACAAACAATTGAACTGGACACATGTACGTTTTTTCAAACCATTTTTTCACACATTTGTACTTCATACTTGCTCTCTGCCTCACAAACATCAACTCACTTCACCAAGTATGGACAGTTTCCACAGCGAAAGCTTTTTAAACTCTCCTGACTGACCTGTCATAACTCCATGAATAACCTTTGAACACGCTTGCTGCCAAAAACTACTTAAGAAACTAAATATTCATAACGCTTTGACATGAGTACTGTCCTTCAAATGGAAATGGAAGAAGCGTTGTATCAGCCTGTGTATTATTTCCACAGTAATATCCAGTAATAAAACATTTGACTGTTCAGGAATGTATCGTCAGCAATTCAAAATTCATGAGATAACATATTATTAATTATTTTGCAATCTCAAAATATCAGATTTAGTGATCTTGACTTAAACCGAGTGGACTTCATTACCTCAAGACACCAAATTGTTCTCATATTTATATATTTTTTATAGGAACAATATTCTGAGATTCAATAATAGTGTTATCTCTAACATGATAATGGGCTTCCATACTTTTACAGTCTGTCCCAGTCAGTCCTCATGGCCATGTGAGAGGGACGAGAGGTCCTGGAGGAAGACATGAAAGATTCAGGAGAATAAGGTAAGAAGCCCCGTTACCCAGACTGTTGTGAACACTGAGATTATTGAGAGGTTATCATGAGGCGATTGGATATCCTGAGATAATCACATTCAACATGAACACCATGAGAGCATTCATTGTAAGCATTAAGGTTACGAACCAACTCTTTCCGGAGCTTTTAACCAAATGAAACGTCTCTATCAGCGATCTAAATTGTCAAGCTGTCATATCCAATACATTGAAGACTTACAACATGTTAAAAGGTCCGGAAAAGCTGCATTGAAAACATTGAAAAGTTGACTACAATTAAATGTTTCACATCCACAGATTACACTTAATTGTATTTTAGGTTAGTTGAAAGGAATGGAATTAAGTTGAACCTAATATTTGTATTTAAACGTAATATTATTTCTTTCAACTAACCTAATACAATTAGCTGTAATCTCTTTACCTAATACATTTAAAGTCAACGTTTCAATGTGTTCCGTGTATTAAGTTAATTGTAAAAAACAACATTTTTTATCTTCGGAAAACACTGTGACTACATGTATTATGTAATTGCTAGTTCAAAAATAATGACCGTCTTGTTATCTTGATTTTTTTACTTGTTGATATGCTTTTCGAAGTAATGCCGAATTATACTGAGGTTGCCAAACTTAATGAACTACTAAGAACATTTTGCTTTTCCAACTATGAAATGTTTGTTGTCTGTTAAAAAAAAAGATCATTCGTGAAGTCATAGGGCTGTCAATCAAGCAAAAGAAGACCTATAATCGACCAAAGTTAATAAAAACACCTCTCGACCTTATCCACCCTCACAGCACAACCCGGGCCCTGAGTTCCTCTGGGCAAGGCCTCCTAAAGGTGCCCCGAACCAGGCTAAAAACTAAGGGGCACCGTGCCTTTGAGGCGGTGGCCCCAAGGCTTTGGAATGAAGTCCCGCAGACACTAAGAGCCTCTGCCTCATGGAGGTTTTTAAGGGGCAGCTAAAGACCCACCTTTTCCGACAGGCCTTTGGGTCGTCGTCGTCGAGTGAGTTAGTAGCTGTTTTTCATTGGTGTTTTATATATGTTTTACTTGCTGTGTTTTATGCCTTTTATTCTACATTTTATAGTTGTAATTTGAATTGTGTATTGTTTACTGTATTCTGTAAAGCACTTTGTACATTCTTCCACACACAGTGACGTCACGAGCTACCCACAATGCAACGCGCGCCATATATATATATATATATAAATACGCCATTTTCCTGGAGGTGCTAATATCCTGGAGGTGCTAATATAAACAGCTAGCTAATGTATCCAGGCAGAGCGCACTAGGTTTTTTTTCTGAATTAACGACCGAAGAAATCGCTGCATGTCTTCGGATTACATCTCTGGACTTGAGGGGTGTGCTCTAGGTCGTTACCAGCGTGAACTAGAGCTGTGTGGGTTGTCCGATTGCCCTTACAGACTGCCTGCAGACGTATGGAAAAACGACCCTCGAAAGTGGCCTTCGGTCGATTTTGGCAGCATCTACGTCTATCTTCTGGAAACACCAGGTGAATACCCCACTTGTCACAATAATATTATCATGCCAATGCATATATGTGGTATTTTAGAGTTGACTATATTGATTAAGGCAATAGACTATGATATTCTGCTTGCACCTCGTGTGAAATGGCAGATACCGGAAGTACGGTGTCGCCCTCGGCCCAAAACCCGTATGTGTGTGTGAAAGAATTCGTGTTGAGAAGGGTGCTATAATTCTTTCTTACTTACTCTCTGCGCAGCCTGTTCTTCAAAATATGATAACACAACACAACCAAAACGACATGGTGGACAAAGTTTTGAATGAATCGATGTTGTCCTGCATGACGTCGTATCATAAATAGTGTTATGTTTCAAATCAAAGTCTGTGTGGTAGTGGGTGGCTCAAGCAAACAAGACTTTCACCTAGGAGACATGGGGTTTGTGTCCAGTGTAAAACCAAAAGTCAATGTTGATTTAGAAGAAACTTACCTCTAACTCAGGATGTATCACCTCACCTAAACAGGTCAAGTTTCGGTGTGTTGTTGTTTATGTTTTTCATTTAGAAAGTGAAACACCTGTTTTAAACTGAGAACACAATCTGGGAGAAATTGTGTGTTTTTTAATATGTGTGTGTGTCATTAAGTTTAGATACTTTAACAGCTGCTTCCTGCTTTCAGGCCCCTCCTATTCGTCTCATTTCATTATGAATGCACAACAAAAACAGTATCATTTGAGATGGTTTCATGCAGTAAGTACAGTGTTGATGCAGCTCTGTAGAAGTCAGCGAGGTCTTAAAGCTGCATTACAAATAGCCGATACATGATAGCGCCATATTTTTAGATACTTCCAATCAGGACATTTCCCTACACACCCGGCATCAGATCAAAACATACGGGACATTTAGATTATGGAAACTCCTTCATGTCACAAGGTGTTGGGAATACTTAACGTAGTAATACCTTACCTTCAACTGTCTCAGGCATACTTTAGCAATTCCAACAGTAAATCCTTTTGTGCAGATTAAGCTGCCATCAAAATATGTATAATAGATCCTTCGAGTCCTCGCGATATAATCCCAGTGTTTAATTCCAATCCCAGAACGTCATGTGGTGCAGAAGATATGTGAAAACCCACCGGAAACTCTACACCTCTTTCCTTAATCTCCTTACTTAAATCTGCGTTTTCTCGTCTTGATCCAGAAGTAAAAAACGTGTCATGGGTCCAAGTGATTGGTCCTGATTTCCCGGGGAAGAGGCTGAGGAGACGGACAGAGACCAATTTAAGGTGATCACTGTCTTTGCCCTTTGCCTGGGTGGGAATATGGTTGTAGATACAGCAGTTTACACCCCCCCTCTAACTGTTCTGACAGATTTAGACCAGTGGGAGTGACGGCCGATAGGAACAGAACGAGTGGAGAGAGCCTTTACGGTAACTTTACCTCACCAGACAATGTGTCTGCAAGTCATTACAGATCCACACAGATCTATTAAACCTCAATCTATACTCTTTATTTGTCTTCATTAGTCAGAATATAAGCCTGAATGTAATGAGGTACTGTTGCATTCATGCCATGTTTCAGAGCCCCAGGCCTTGAGTTATTCTTAGACCTTCTGCCTGCCACTGGTATTCTGCTTCGCCTTTTTAGGCCAGAGGCGTGACCTTACACCCCACCAGTCCTACACCCCCTCCATTTTAAATACCCCGCCCCCTGCAGACCTCCTCTAGTCGGGGCAGAGCTGTCATCGAGTGCAGAGAAGGAGGGAGTTACCCTGGGGACAGACAACTTCTTCACTTCCCCCCCAAGAGCCTACAATTAGTATTATTGTTGTCACAAAGACAGCTGAATAATAATAATAATAAAGCTTTATTTATGTAACACTTTTCATACAACACATGCAGCTCAAAGTGCTTTACAAGTTAAGTTAAAAATACACAACAAGAAGTTCCCCTCAGATTATTTGTCAAGAACTTTACAGACCTGTTAATGCAGCAAAATATAACATTTGATCAGGTTAATGGACACAAGGAGGTCACATGTATGATAATACAAATAAAATAAATAATGGTTTCTCTCTGACAGATAAGACACAAGACAACTGAGTCGATGCAACAATATAAAATATAAAACCCCATGAACATATAGATACAACATAACATACAAATAAAAAGATAATAGTTATAACAATTCCATAATTCTAATGTAAAGGTTAAACGATTAAGAAATAAAAAAGACCAACGTAAAAATAAATATTGCTATTGAAGCATGTTGGATTGATAACATAAGATACAATCCTTTAAGACCTATAAAATAAATAAAACAATATAAAGGTATGAAAATAATAAAGACTAAAATAACATTTAAAGTGGAGGGTTACTAATAAAAATAGTCTAGAATCTACCCGGCAACACACTGCATTTGGTGTCTTTTGCTTTTCAGATGTATGTGTGTAACAATTGTAAATATTCTGTTTGGTGTCAAAAATTTCTTTGTAATTCATTTATTATAATCACACAAATTCTGTGTTCTGTATTTAATAATGTTGTGTTCTATGTTAAATACAGAGGTGGGAAGTAGTGGAGTACAAATACTTTGTTACTGTACTTAAGTACATGTTTCTGTTATCAGTACTTTACTCCACTACTTACTTTTCTGACGACTTTTTACGTTGACTTCTCACATGTTGAACTCAAATACCTGTACTTTCTACTTCTTACATGTTGAACCCAAATACCTGTACTTTCTACTTCTTACATGTTGAACACAAATACCTGAACTTTCTACTTCGTACATGTTGAACACAAATACCTGTACTTTCTACTTCTTACATGTTAAACACAAATACCTGTACTTTCCACTTCTTACATGTTGAACTCAAATACCTGTACTTTCTACTTCTTACATGTTAAACACAAATACCTGTACTTTCTACTTCTTACATGTTGAACCCAAATACCTGTACTTTCTACTTCTTACATGTTGAACCCAAATACCTGTACTTTCTACTTCTCACATGTTGAACACAAATACCTGTACTTTCTACTTCTCACATGTTGAACCCAAATACCTGTACTTTCTACTTCTTACATGTTGAACACAAATACCTGTACTTTCTACTTCTTACATGTTTAACCCAAATACCTGTACTTTCTACTTCTTACATGTTGAACCCAAATACCTGTACTTTCTACTTCTTACATGTTGAACACAAATACCTGTACTTTCTACTTCTTACATGTTGAACACAAATACCTGTACTTTCTACTTCTTACATGTTGAACACAAATACCTGTACTTTCTACTTCTTACATGTTGAACCCAAATATCTGTACTTTCTACTTCTTACATGTTGAACCCAAATACCTGTACTTTCTACTTCTTACATGTTGAACACAAATACCTGTACTTTCTACTTCTTACATGTTGAACACAAATACCTGTACTTTCTACTTCTTACATGTTGAACACAAATATCTGTACTTTCTACTTCTTACATTTTGAACACAAATACCTGTACTTTCTACTTCTCACATGTTGAACCCAAATACCTGTACTTTCTACTTCTTACATGTTGAACCCAAATATATGTACTTTCTACTTCTTACATTTTGAACACAAATACCTGTACTTTCTACTTCTTACATGTTGAACCCAAATATCTGTACTTTCTACTTCTTACATTTTGAACACAAATACCTGTACTTTCTACTTCTTACATGTTGAACCCAAATACCTGTACTTTCTACTTCTTACATGTTGAACACAAATACCTGTACTTTCTACTTCTTACATGTTGAACCCAAATACCTGTACTTTCTACTTCTCACATGTTGAACCCAAATACCTGTACTTTCTACTTCTCACATGTGGAACACAAATACCTGTACTTTCTACTTCTCACATGTTGAACCCAAATACCTGTACTTTCTACTTCTTACATGTTGAACACAAATACCTGTACTTTCTACTTCTCACATGTTGAACCCAAATATCTGTACTTTCTACTTCTTACATTTTGAACACAAATACCTGTACTTTCTACTTCTTACATGTTGAACCCAAATATCTGTACTTTCTACTTCTTACATTTTGAACACAAATACCTGTACTTTCTACTTCTTACATTTTGAACCCAAATACCTGTACTTTCTACTTCTTACATGTTGAACCCAAATACCTGTACTTTCTACTTCTTACATGTTGAACCCAAATACCTGTACTTTCTACTTCTTACATGTTGAACCCAAATACCTGTACTTTCTACTTCTTACATGTTGAACACAAATACCTGTACTTTCTACTTCTCACATGTTGAACCCAAATACCTGTACTTTCTACTTCTTACATGTTGAACACAAATACCTGTACTTTCTACTTCTTACATGTTGAACACAAATACCTGTACTTTCTACTTCTTACATGTGGAACACAAATACCTGTACTTTCTACTTCTCACATGTTGAACCCAAATACCTGTACTTTCTACTTCTTACATGTTGAACACAAATACCTGTACTTTCTACTTCTTACATGTTGAACCCAAATACCTGTACTTTCTACTTCTTACATGTTGAACCCAAATATCTGTACTTTCTACTTCTTACATTTTGAACACAAATACCTGTACTTTCTACTTCTTACATGTTGAACCCAAATATCTGTACTTTCTACTTCTTACATTTTGAACACAAATACCTGTACTTTCTACTTCTTACATGTTGAACACAAATACCTGTACTTTCTACTTCTTACATGTTGAACACAAATACCTGTACTTTCTACTTCTTACATGTTGAACACAAATACCTGTACTTTCTACTTCTTACATGTTGAACACAAATACCTGTACTTTCTACTTCTTACATGTTGAATACAAATACCTGTACTTTCTACTTCTCACATGTTGAACCCAAATATCTGTACTTTCTACTTCTTACATTTTGAACACAAATACCTGTACTTTCTACTTCTTACATGTTGAACTCAAATACCTGTACTTTCTACTTCTTACATGTTGAACCCAAATATCTGTACTTTCTACTTCTTACATTTTGAACACAAATACCTGTACTTTCTACTTCTTACATGTTGAACCCAAATATCTGTACTTTCTACTTCTTACATTTTGAACACAAATACCTGTACTTTCTACTTCTTACATGTTGAACACAAATATCTGTACTTTCTACTTCTTACATTTTGAACACAAATACCTGTACTTTCTACTTCTTACATGTTGAACACAAATATCTGTACTTTCTACTTCTTACATGTTGAACTCAAATACCTGTACTTTCTACTTCTTACATGTTGAACTCAAATACCTGTACTTTCTACTTCTCACATGTTGAACACAAATACCTGTACTTTCTACTTCTCACATGTTGAACACAAATACCTGTACTTTCTACTTCTTACATGTTGAACACAAATACCTGTACTTTCTACTTCTTACATGTTGAACTCAAATACCTGTACTTTCTACTTCTCTCATGTTGAACACAAATACCTGTACTTTCTACTTCTTACATGTTGAACTCAAATACTTGTACTTTCTACTTCTCTCATTTTCCAAACAGCTGGTTCCTTTAGTCTGAATGTGTGTTTGGTGCGTGATCATTATTCTTTAGAGTCATTGCGTGCCTATTGATTTGAACACGATCCGTGTATCCATCATTTCCTGGTCTTCTCTAAAGAAGAGGGACCAATGGAAACGTTGTCATGTTGCCGTTGTTCAGCACGGAAACATTCATTAGCTAACAATGACATTATTGTTCTATTAATATAAAGGGAGGTCAGGTACTCTTTAAAACAGCTGCTAGTTATGGGTACTTTTTACTGAAGTACATTTCAAAGCCTCTTTACTTTGACTTGAGTAAAGAAGTTTAGTCAGTACTTCTACTTTTACCAGAGTATTTTTAAACACGAGTATCTGTACTTCTACTTGAGTAAAGGGTGTGTGTACTTTTGCAATCTCTGATTAAATAACTGGCTTGTCTAGAATCAGTGGGCGGGTCCTCCAAAATTCAGTCTCTGTACACAGAAGATTATTTTTGGGGGACTTCCCCCCAGGGTCGGCGTCATGGGGGGTCATTCGCGGGCCATGCCCCCCCAAATGAGTCACTGTGCCCCCCCAACGCAGGGTGGGCAAGCCTTGTCACTTTGCCGATTTTTTCTTTTTTTTATCATATAGTGAAAACGTTTCCACTAAAGGTTTTTTGTGTGAAATACATCAGAAATAAATAATACAAATATAAAACACAGCCTGAGGTGTGCTCACTGCTGCTCTCTGATTGGTGTGTT